GACAGTAAATGTAATTTGTTTGTTAATTCTATGGATTTAGCCTAATGTCAGAGCTTTCGACGATCTTGTAAATACCAATAACAAATATTTTAATCGATAGAAAAATACTAATATTAATAAGTATTCAATACTTTTTAATAAATAATTATAATTATTATAAATAACATTATAAATAGGTAAGAGTGGGGCACAATGGCCAGAAGCTTTGCCAAAATTTGGGTAAATTTAGTTAAAGTAGTAGACTTGATGGTTAAAAGCCACAAACCCCCTGTATGTAGTTCGTATCAATACCAAAAAAAATATATGATTATTTCAAGAAACATAAATATGGTTGAAAATACCGCCATAACATTTAACGAATGCCCTTAGAGAGGGTGGATAAATTCAAATATCTGGGGGTGACTCTTTGAAGACTGGGAATCAGACAAAGAAAGAAAATGTCGCATTGAACAAGACCGACAGGCATTCTTCAAGATGACTTTCGAAAAATCGTCGCTGGGTGGGAATTTCGCAAAATCGATGTATAAAGTGCTGTCATGTATAAAAAATTTCAAAATTGCAAAAAACTTTGATAAATATAAAAAATTGTACAAGTATTAACGATTTCCGATGATATTCCAAACTTTCTCGATCCAATTTATGACACTGTTTAAACCAAATTATCTCGTGTTTTATAGGTTTTCATTAACGGCTAATAATTTATCTTTTTTTATCTTTATCTTACTTCGTACTTCTCTGGCAAATCTGAAGTCGATAGCTGGAAATTTAGGGCAACTATTACGTTTTTTAATATTGCACGGAATATCGGTGAAAACCTTAAATACAAAAATTTTGAGCTGGGTATGCGAGCTTTATTGCCATGTAAAAGAAACTAATATCTGAAATACAGTCCTTTATTTATCGCCAATCTTCAATAATTTAGGGACCCATTTTTCAGATTTTTTTAATTTGCGGCGCACCCTCTACGTTTTTGAAAAATTTGCAGGCATAAGAAATTGTGCAGCCAAATTTTCTACGTGTTCTCGTTCAAGAATTTTTTCGCCTTCGTAAACAGTTTTCGAGAAATGATCCCTTGCAAGTTTTTGTTTCTTTTTAAGTACTTCCAGACCCCCCCCCCCCCCCCCCAACCACCGCAATTTTAATAGGTTCCATTAGGGGACCAAACCCTATTTGCCTGCCAAATTTGAAGTCGATAGCTTCAAATTTCGGACACTTATCGTGTTTCATAGCAATGTCCAAAAAACAGTCGGAAATCGAAAAAAAGAAAGATGGACGCCGAAGCTTGAACGCAAACATTTTTATATATCCTATGTGCACCGTGGACGGTTAAAAAGGAGCAAAATTTGAACCGTGTACCTCAAACCGTCCCGAAGTTATCATCGAAAAACCCTGAAACAGAGAACGGAGAAACGGAAAACGGAGAACGGACATACAAACAAACAAAAATTTTTTTTATGCTGATTCTACACATCGTAAGATCCTTAAGGCACCTGGACGGCTAGATTAACAAACGAAGAAATTCTAAGAGCAAACAACACTAACTATTTCAATTAATTAAGAAGAGAAAAATGGCTTAACTAGGGCACATCATGCGAAACAACAAATAACAGTTTTTGCACCTACTGATCGAAGGTAAAATTGAAGGAAATAGAGGAGTTGGAAGGAAGAAAATGTCTTGGCTGCTAAACATCAGGCAGTGGACAGGACTACAAGATATACAAGATAGAGTGGATATGCATCGAAAGAAGAAGAAGGAATTAATTGAAAAAAAAAATCAGTTCCGTATTTAAATACCTTATGATGATGATGGTCCCCAGCAGCCTAAACGTCAAATCAGAATTGCAGAGCAAAAAAAAGTGCTCATGAAAATGTCTTTTAAAATTTAAGTTATCTTAACAAATAGACAGTAGAAACCAAAATAAAAAAATTCGGTTTTCTTCGGATATTTTTGGAATTATTCGGAATTATTCAAAATTCAAAAAAGTATTTTATTCAGCATTAAATTGGGCGACTTGGCTCCCATTTAACCGACCTCGTATCTCTTCGCGAAAAATTCTAATGAATATCAAGAAATTTCGCGTTTCATGGACATTTTCTTTTGAAATTTAGCACACCCATCATTAGTGTTCTTTGTATTTTTCTACCAACATTGACGTAAAACCCTTTATTACAAAAGGCCCTAGCTTTGCCACGACCTTAAGAAAATATCCTCAAGCTTTTGGTTTAATCATCAGTAAAGATTGTTAAAAATTTAGTGCTTAGTATTGTATTTTGTTTCTTCGTTTTCATATACTCTATTGTACCCGCATTAGCAATTTTACTTGTTTTGCAATGGACTGAAGTTATCTTTTAGAATGTTAACTATGTTTTGAAGCTATTCTTTTGGTAGGTTGTATTATTTCGTCTCATTTTAACTATATAATTAATTTTTAATTAATGATTCATTAATTTCCCAATTTCAAGTAGAAGTTTGTAATAACTAATTTGTCAAAATTTATAAAATTCACATGGAAAGCATAAGAAAGTAAGCAAATATCATCAGCGTTTCGAGAGAATTCGATACACCGTGGGTATTAACTTAATTGCCCATTTAAATGACATCGGAAATAATTGTAAATCGGTAATGGGCTATTTCCACACACAAAAACAACGCAATTTGAATTCCCTAATTAGATATTAACGTCGAGTGGTACTAAGGTTGAAGTTCCTTTCGCTTCAACGTTGTATATAAAAGTGTTTCTGTATTTCTTTCTCGCCTGTAATACCAGTTGCCTTAAAAACACTCTTTATGGTAATCGCTGAACTATGTTTAACGATGTTTTAAATTTGAACCAACAGAAACCTCTGACCAAAAATAAGCTATTATTATTTCGAATGTTTTAAAAAGTTGCTACGAAGCTTTTGGAAGTCAAGTATGGATAAAAGTATTTTTTTAAATTCAAATGTCATTATTTATTTCATTTTTTCATGTATATAATGTTTCGAAAAATGGGTTAAGATCTTACAGTCAGATTACTTATTAAAATAATGTTTGTTCAGCTATTAAAAATGTAATGAAATCATCCCTTCAACAATGTACCATAATCATTGAATTTTTAAGGTGTAAAATGTTTTGAATATGGAGTAAAATAAATCACGCAACAAAAAAATGATGTTATATCAATAGTCCAACATCATTATTATTTATTTATTTATTTTTATGTATAAAATGCTTTGAACAGTTGCTGCGAAGCTCTGGGATACAGATACAGAGTCACAAGTGGGTCTTTCAGTTAGGATATTTATTAAAATTGTGTTCGTTCTGCTTACAAAAATGAAATGAAATCATAGCTTCAATTTGGTCTTCTATTTCCCATATTATTATTATTTATTTCATTTTGTTATGTATAGAATGTGTGAAAAAGTGAGTTACGAAGCTTTAGGAAATCTTCGAAGATACAGACTCACAACTGGATCTTACAGTTGGGATATTTATTAAAATAGCCTTTGATCTGCTTAAAATAATGCAAAAAAAACCATCACTTCACTTGACCGATTTTTTGTTCTGATTATAACTTGGTTAAATGTTTTGAAACAAAGAGGAAACTTTAACCATAAAAATAATCTTTATATGCTTAGCTGTTTTTCGTATAAGTCTTCTTGTAATGTTCTCTCAACAACACAATTATTTATTTCATGTATTTGTGTATAAAATGTTTCAAAAAGTAGGTAAATAAATTTTGGGATGTCTGCCAGGATACAGACTCACAAATGGTTCTTACAATTAGGATATTTGTTAAAATAACGTTTCTTCTGAATATAAAAATTAAACGAAATCATAGCTTCGATTCTTTGTTCTTATCTTTAAATGTATGATGTTTTTAGTATAAACCTTCTAATAACTATTTGAATGGGAGGTAAAAGAAACCACCAACAAAAAATAATGTTATGCCAACAGTCCCACATTGTTATTATTTATTTATTAAAAGTTGCTGCGAAGCTTTGTGAAGTTAAGTGGAGATAAAAGTATTTTTTTAAAATTCGTATGACACAGATACAGAGTCACAAACAATGAAACAAAATCATCACTTCATCTTTAAGGTGTAAAATGTTTTGAATATGGAATAAAAGAAACCTTGGAACAAAAATTGTTATATCAATAGTCCAAGATTAGGTTATTATTTATTCAAATTTTTCCTGAATAGAATCTTTCGAAAAGTGGGTACGAAGCGTTAGGAACTCTTCCAGGATACGTGGTTCTCAGGTTATAAAAGTGGTCTTCGTTCTGCTGCAAACAATGGAACGAAACCATCACTTCACTTGACCCATTGTATGTTCTGATTATAAGTTCATTGAATGGTGTCAAACAAAAAATGTTTAAAATAATATTTGAATGCTATGCCGTTTTTCGTATAAAGTTTGTAATAATGTTTTGAATGCAGAGTAAAAGAGGCCACACAAGAAAAAAATGATGTTATATCGATAGTCACACATTAAGTTATTATTTATTTTATCTACAACCATTTAATAATAGACGCATAATACTTCTGACAGTGAGAGTATTATGCTACGCATAATACAACAAGTGTAATTATATCATAAAAAAACAAGTGTAATTATATCATAAAACAACAAGTGTAATAAAATATTCTGGAATTCTTAATAATCCGGGCTTCAATTAATCGGCGCAGAATTCACACATTTCATTTATTATTTTTATGAAAATTTACTATAAAGTTACCCATATTAAAGTCATACACACGTTACCAATTCAATTCTATTATTCAAAAACAGTTCAAAAAATACAAACCAATATGACAATAATTAAAAAGAATTAGTAGGCCGTGCAGGCTAAATCTGACAGCGCGCAGCGGGTATCCATAGCGACAGCTTACCCGACGCGACGCTCATCGTGAATACAAACATTTTCTTTCATGAAATAATAATTGTAAAGTAAATAATATTCATATAGAGAAGCTTTAAAATTTCGCCTTGCAATTAAAACATAAGATTTAATAAAAATGGATTCTGAAAACGAAGTACTAACACCCCCGGAAATTCGAGCGGCAGCGGAAGCTGCGTCTCTGGATTTACTTCCCAAGAAATCAAGAAACAATTATGAAATTGCCTACAACAATTTCATGGATTGGCGATCAAGAAACAAGGCCACCTCCTTCTCTGAAGATACATTATTAGTGTATTTCAAAGAATTGGCTAAAAAGTATAAGTCGTCCTCCTTGTGGACGTTTTATTCCATGCTGAAAAGCACACTTTATATTAAACACAATGTCAAGATCGACCACTACGCGAAGCTACATGCTTTATTAAAAAGACAATCAGAAGGCTATCAACCCAAAAAATCTAAGGCATTTACCGGACAGGAAATAAATAAATTTATTTATGAAGCTCCTGATACAAAATATTTGGCTACAAAGGTAAGGAATGATAAGACGTTACATACCTACGGTATTTACCAAGAGGTGTTAATTTTTTAGGTTGCATTAATTATGGGAGTGATGGGTGCATGCCGCTCAAATGAACTACATGCAATGAAAATACAACACGTTACATTTTATGAAGGTTGCACTAGAGTAATAGTTCCCGTTACGAAGACCAAGATCCCTAGGAATTTTACTATTACTGAGAAGTTCCATGATATTGTTAAAAAATATGCAAATCTGAGACTGCCAAATGCATCAGATTCTTTTTTTATGAATTTTCAAAATGGAAAATGCACAAAACAAGTTATCGGCATTAACAAGTTTGCCAAAATGGGCAGAGAAATTGCAAGTTTCTTACAAATCAAAAACCCAGAAAGATATACCGGGCACTGTCTACGACGATCTTCAGCCACATTGTATGTCGACGCAGGGGCAAGTATGACAGCTCTGAAGCGCCACGGAGGCTGGAAGTCGGCTTCTGTAGCTGAAGGCTATATTGCAGACTCGCAGAAGAACAAGACCGATGCAGCTACTAAAATATTAAGTCAAATCAACCCTAATTGTAATATTAATAACAGTACTTTTGTTTCTACCCCCTCACAATATCCAGGTATGTCTACTATTACGAGCGAATCTTCTCATAACACTTTTTCGATTAGTAAAGACACCACGGACATTAGTATTGGTACTACACCAACTACTATGAATTTCAATAACTGCCCTAATATAACAATCAATTTTATGAAATAGACAGAGTAATACATAATGATCCTATTAAGCGTCAATTTAAAAATAATTGTGTGCTGAAGTGTAAATGTTAATTAAATATTATTAAACTTATTAAATGTTCAATCCAGGACTTTCATTGAATTTATTCCTTATTACATCACAACTCATAACACATAAACATATAACATAAACAGCATACATAAACAGTAACCAGTGTTGATATTGAGTGAATGGTAGAATCTAAAAATGTATGATATTATGTTCCATTTCATATAAAGCAAGTTAACATCCACTTCCGGCCTAACCGGAAGTGCCACCATCTTGAGAATATTCTAGCTGAATTGCTCTGCCATCAGCATTAGCTTCCTACCGGATTTTCAGGTTTCTCCCATGTATAGTTTTTTTTCACAATAAAATGACACATTTCAATTCCGGTGAGGTACCCTATATAAGTGGATGGTTGTAGATAAAGTATAGTATTTGACTCGAGTATTATGGACCATAATAAACTCAGATGATTATAACACTCGCCGCAAGCGGCTCGTTTTATAAATCATCCTCGTTTATTATGGCCTTCATAATACGCTCGTTAAATAATATACTATTATTCGTTGATATATGGAATGTTACAGGGAAGGATGCAGACACACAAATGGATCGTACAGTTAGGATATCCAATAAGATAGGCTTCGTTCTGCTTAAAATAATGCATTAAAACAGTCACTTCTCCTGACCAATTGTATGTTCTGATTATAAATTCGTTGAAAGTTGTGAAACAAACAGGAAACAATACCTTCAAAATAATCTCCACAAAAAAAATTTTTATAGCAATAGTCCTAAGTTAAATTGTTATTGATTTCATTTTTTTATGTATAGAATGTTTGAAAAAGTGGGTACGAAGCTTTAGGAAGTGTTCGAAGATGCAGACTAACAAATGGATTTTACAGTTGAGATATTTATTAAAATAGCCTTTGATCTGCTTAAAATAATGCAAAAAAAAACATCACTTCCCTTGACGATTTTATATTCTGATCAAAATTTTGAAGAATTTTGTGAAATCTTGAAAATAATCTTTATATGCTGAGCTGTTTTTCATATAAACCTCCTTATAATGCTTTGAAAGTGGATTAAAAGAAATGATATTATTGCAATAATTCCACTTCAAGTTATTATTTATATCAGTTTTTCTTGTCTAGAATGTTTGGAAAAAATTACAACAACCTTCAATCCGTTATGAAACAAACAGAAAATTTTATATTTTAAAAATAATCTTCAAATGCTAAGTGTTTTTCGTATAAATCTTAAAATGTTGTTTTCAATGTAGAGTAAAAGTAATCCCGCAAAAAAAAAAAGATTTTATTTCCCACATTAAGTTATAATTATTTCCGTTTTTTCGTGTCTCAAAAAGTGGATAGGAAGCTTAAGGATACAGATTCATAAATAAATCTTACTCTTAGGATATTTATTAAAATAGTCTTCTTTCTGCTTAAAATAATACAATGGAATCATCACCTCGCTTGACCAATTGTATGCTCTGCGTGTTAATCCACTTTTTAACCTATTTTTATTTTTTTTTCGGTACCCCTGTCAGTCGAAAAATGTACCCTATAGAGTTGAATTTTTATTGCAGGGGTATTACCGGACGCCATCAAGACAGGCTGCTCGAAATGTAACGAGACGCAGCGAAACGGCGCCAAGAAAGTAGCCAGATACCTAATCAAAAACAAACCCGAATGGTGGGCGGAACTGGAAAAAACTTTCGATCCAGACGGCACCTACAGGAAAAAATACGAAGCGGAAATCAAATCCGAAGGTTTTTAATTATATTGAGACAAATTTTTAACGTCGTGTTATATATTTATAAAATAAAAGACAACTATCGATCAGCCTTTTTGTTACTTTCTGCTCGGTATTTTGTGGTTCGAGTTCAAGGTCGATTCGTTTTTTACACGCCTAGGCAACAAACTAATGCATATTAGTGCAAATTAACAGTTAAAAAAAATAAAATTATTTTGTTTTAATTTGCGGTCATTTAATAAGAATCAAGTGGATAGGCAGTAGCTTCATTAGTATTTTAGTCGTCTGAATATGATCCAAAATTGTTATTCAAGGAAGAGCTGGACGATTTGTTTACTTAACTATATTTGTCATGGTGCTGCTAAATGTGCGTAATAATTTTAATGATTATATGTCTACGCATTAATATCGCAGGAAAATTAAAAACATATTAAGACGTTCTTTGATATGTGAAATAGGGAACTTGAACATTTTTGTTATTTCTTTAGTGCATTAGTTTATGTATACCAAATATAAAAACTTAAAACCCAATATTTAAGTTGCAATAAATAATTCAAGTCGTGACGCCCGGCAAGTCCGTTTGAACCACGCTAAACGCGCGGAAATGATCGTGACGTCATACCGCTTTTTTTCGACCAATACAATATGTTATAGTGTTATTCTCAGGTTATGGGCTGAGAATTACATTATTTACGTTTATTTTTGGTTCGTGTTGTTTATATTTAACCTACGCCAGTTTGTATTTGTGCTCAGTGTGCTTTATATGTATATAATGGAAGTAACACAAAAACAATATGGTGTTTGAGTACAACCCGTAAAACGCTAGATAAACTCTTTATTCATCTACCAGATGTCACTTTAGCCTTAACCCTGCAAACACTTTGAACTCTTCGAAGCTGCCCCCATCCTATTGCAGTCCTCACAGGAATGGCTTACAAATCTATGTAAAATAAGGAACACTTTAAGTTAGACTGCTCTGCAAAAAAAAAATTCTCTCCTTCTTGTTTTCATGCATTAATTCATCTTATATTATGCTCTAAACACGGAATCTGATATACAAATAAGTACCACACCTAGGTTTTTAATTTAATATTTACTTCATCAAAAAACAATATTATTAAAGTATAAATTATTATAAGGAAATAAACAAATGTGGCGGCTTGAGTTTTACAGTAAAAAATATAGCTTATAAGCTGTTTTAACCGGATCGGTTTAATTAACGACAAGTTTTCACTGAACTGTTGTAGTGTCACAATGAATACTGCGCATGCGCTTATTTACTACCATAAAAATCACCTTCGGCACTTCCCTCCTTTCTCTTACAACTCTCTGAAACTCATTTTGTATGTATATTTACTGTTTGTAACGTTGACGAATAAAAAAATTGAAAAAAAAAAAAAAACAAAATTTTGAAATATAACAAAAAAATCATATCGAAAAATCTAGACGTGATAGAAAAAATCGGCCTACGGGGATAGATTCAAAACGTTTGAATCATTATATTTATCACGAAATTTTTTAAAGGAGGATTTACTTTAATACGGTCACAGCCAATGATATCGCGTTTCAAAGAGGATTTAAATTGTACAATTTTTAATTGCTTATATTTGTTACAGAGAATTTCGAAATTATTTTTTTTGTGAACTGTGCTTCTTTTAATAGTATAAACTGACTTTTACAGTCAATATTTTTTATATTTAAATTTTGTTCAAGTTGCCTGTTTGATTGCAGTTTGATTCGCAGAGTGTTAATACTGAAGGTTGTTTAAATTTTAAAAATAAAACTTCACTGGTATCTTCGGATTATTTTATTTTATTATTTATTTTATTTTATTAAATATTTATCTGTCTATCTATCTCCAGCCCCCAGATTACTTAAATTTTGAGAGTTACATTTCGGTACATTGACTAGTATTTTATGTGGAGAACCAGCTGCTGCATCACCGGTATAAAGTTAAATTTAACCACGGAGACCCATTCAAAACCAATTGGTTATTTTTGGCATTTTCGTTTTTTTTTTAAGGAAAATGATTTTTTTCCAATAATAAAGATAATAATAAAACAACAATAAAACTTTTACGATGTTATTACCTATTGTTATTGGCTAGAGCCATATAGCTCTAAGATAATATATACGGTAAAAAGTGATGCGCCGCAGGTGGCTATGACATTTTCGTAGAGAAGGTGTCTTTTGCGCATGCGTCACCCCAACTAACCGAATTGTCACATTGCCGTAATTTTCCTGCAAAAATTGACTATATTTCATAAGAACGCAAAATCAGTCTCTGAAATCCGAATATAATTGGCAACACCGAGCTAGGAATTCTATTGGCAGAGACTACTAACAGTCTGTGACATTTTTGTGTACATTTTTGGTGGTTATGATTATCTATTTTTGGTTATTTACATTTGAATCCAAGTTGCAATAAAATATGGCTAAATTATTGTGTGAATTTATACTAACATCTAATGCCCGGTAAACACAATGCAATTTCTACATGTATTTTTAATATTTAACAGTTGCTGTTAAATATTTTCAAAGGAGAAATTTTTGCGGTAGCCGCCATGAGACAATAAACTACACTTTTCAGGATTTGGTTATGTTAATTCTGTTACATTTAGAGCTAATTGTTTATTGACTTGTTTTATACTAGTTTTTAATTTTCTTGGTTAAATGCCTCCGAAAACATACGATTGCTCACAAATCCATGCGGTAAAATCCCGCAAATGTCCGAAGTGGCTCGGATTCGTGGGAAACGAAGCTGACGTGGAAAGTGACGCTTCCCGCACGCCAGATCGGGGGGTAATCAGGTATTTTACAGGCGGGAGTAGAAAAATTTAATTTTAAAATACTACAATCCTACTAACATTGTGTATTTTATAAAGGCACCCATAACTGTAAAAATATGAACATTCTTTGTTCTAATTAAATTGTGCTAAATAGACTTCGTGTAATATCGCACCAATAATAATGGCTACCTTGGAAAAAAGGTTCACAAAAAATATGCATGCGTATCAGCTATTAAGTCAAAAATTACAACTATTAACGTCAGATTTGATATCAACATAAATAGAGGCGTCACTTTTCCGACCAGTTTAGAAAACGAGCGTCATTTACACGATGAATATTACGGGAATGATTTTTGTGGTTTTCCTCGTCATAAATTTATGCTACGGCCACCCATACGAAGAAAAATATTCAGCGAAATATGATAACGTAGACATCGACGCGATCTTAGCTAACGAGAGGCTCTTGCGAAACTACATCGACTGCCTGCTAGACTTAGGGGCGTGTACTGCCGAGGAGGATCAACTTAAACGTAGGTAAATTGTAGATAATAATTTGTTATTAGGTATGGTAAGTTTAAAAATAATAGTATTTATTTGATAATACTAAAGTGATCATGTCTTTCTTTTTAGTGGTTCGTTCTATTGACAATTGTCTGAGACGAGCGTCATTAATTTTATTTGACTTTGATCGGCTGGACTAGAGTGGTTAGGACCGGTCCTTATTTTCCGAATTCGTCCCAATTAGCTTATATACTTAAAATTATTTCAAATTCTTTTGAAATTAGATGGAATTCCTCTGGCATTGCTTAATAATACACAGCGTAACACCTCTTATCGTCGTAATTTCTTGCAGTTTATCTGGAATTTCTGGAAGAATTTCTTGGAATTCCTCTGAAGTTTTTTGCAGAATTCGTTATAATTCCTTTGCAATTAGATGGGATTACTCAGGAATTGCTTAATAGTGTACACCCGTATAGCCACAATTCCTTGCATTTCATCTAGAATTTCTAGAAGAATTCCTTGGAATTCTTGTGTAATTAGTGTAATTATCATTCAAAATATTTGCCATTACTCCTTATAATTCCTTTGCAATGTGATGGAATTCCACTAGCATTGCTTGATAATTGAACCCTAATGCCTTTTGTACGTATAATTATCCTGGAACTCCATAGAGTGGTTCTATATTTAGTTGAAATTCCTCCGAAATTCCTGCAGTTTATCTCTTGCCCAAGGTTCTATAGATTTACGTAGCTTTCGTTTTTAGATTGGTTGCCGGATAGCATAGAGACCCACTGCAGTAGATGCACGGAACGACAGCAGCGTAACGCTCAGAAGATCATCGATTATCTGATCCACGATCAACCAGCATGGTGGGGAGAATTATCCGCTAAATATGACCCAGAAGGATACTACCTTTTACAATTCAAGGAAACCGTGGGAGTTAAATAACCTACATTCGTCTCATATCCACGTTAATAATAATAGAATTAGAACCTACCTGAGGCTTCAAGCTGCAGGCTCTTGCTGCAAATTTCCTTTAAGCATGTTACATAATGTTGCCGAACGAGCTAAATTAAAATGAAAATAAAGTTTTATGTTCCTGTACTTAATATAAAATAAAATAAAGCGATTCGGGTGATGAATTCTTCACATTATTTTTTTTTCTGTTCAGTTTTGGTCAGGTAGGTTAGTTTTTTTAATAGTTAGATGGCGGCTCGCACATGAAAGTTATAAGTCATTTATAAATTTAATTGGTAAATTACAGGTAGTTGGAGGAAGAAATAAACAAGCCATATTGATATATTTAGACAAGATGTTATTGCCAAATCTAATTGTCTCGTTGCGTTAGTTAATTTGGGGCATGATTAATTTTAGTTTGTTGTTAACCCAATTTATTGCGAAGCCACTGTCAAATAAAGCCAATACAGGGTGAATAAATGAGAGACGAAAGAAAGAAAAAAAGGAAAATTTTAAATTTTTTTTAAAGTATACGTGGTGGCCCAAAAAAGCGTGACGAATAAAACTAAATAAAACTCTCTATTTTTGAATTCTTGGGTCGAATTCGTTTTAAAGTTCTTAAACTTTTTTATAATAATAAATAATAATGCACACGTAATCCTAATAGTTTATCCAGTCTTTCAATTTTTCTAAAAAAGTACTAGTTTTCACGCTTGCAAAAGAAATAAGATGGCGCCTTTATTTTTGAATGTAAATCACTCAGATCAGTCATAATTGAAGTTATTCGAAGATGACGAAAAGATATTTGAAATTGATACTAAAGGGTGTTCAAAATATTTGGATCATTTTAAATTGAGAAATCTTCATTTTTCTCAAATGGCTCGCCATATATATTATTAATTTTTAATACTTTGCGATTTATTTGAACTTTTCCAATACTTACCCTTCTTTCTGTCTAAGACTATTGCTAGAATATTAGTTGACCATGACCGAACTAAAACATGAACGGAACGGAACTTTGGAGCCGTGGATAAAGCCGTAGTTAAAGCAAAAGTTATTAGCAATTTTTGTGAAAATCACTGTAGAAAAAATGTGCTAGTTAGTCGAGTTACTCGTTTGCGTGCCAAAAAACTATTTTTTGACAGAATGGAGGGACAAAAAAAATGGAATTCATGACTATGAACAGCAGCATGAGGTCGGCCTCGTCACGACGAACTTTAAGCGTTTTCCAACGTAATGAGTTTTCAAGAGCCACATAATCAACGTTAGCCAAGTGGACACAGGTTGCTGAAGTTAGCTCGGGATTGGGATTGAAATCTGCGCCAAATTACAACGGACCGAACAAACACTGGTCAATATTTATAAAATGATGTATTAACCTTATTTTTGAAGCAAAATTAATTTCATATTCCACATATTTTTGACACGGCACAAAATCGTCTACAGTGTGAAATATTCAATATTTTGATAAAAATATGTTTTTCGACACCTTCGAAGCAGCAAAAATTACAAGCTGCCTAGTCCTATTAAAGAAACCAAAATTAAGTTATTTCATATATTTATCACACACACACACACACACACACACACACACACACACACACACACACAAAATTGTCTAGAGGGTGAAACATTCCATCTTTTGATAAAAATATATTTTTCGACACCTTCGCTGGCACAAAAATTACAAGCTGCCTAGTCCTATTAAAGAAAGCAAAATTAACTTCATATTTCACATATTTTTGAAGCAACACAAACTCGTCTACAGGGTGAAAAATTAATTTTTTTGATAAAAATATGTTTTTCGACACCTTCGACGGCTCAAAAATTACAAGCTGCCTAGTCCTATTAAAGAAAGCAAAATTAACCTCATATTTCACATATTTTTGAAGGAATACAAACTCGTCTACAGGGTGAAAAATTAAATTTTTTGATAAAAATATGTTTTTCGACACCTTCGACGGCTCAAAAATTACAAGCTTGCTAGTCTTATTAAAGAAAGCAAAGTTAACTTAATGTTCCATATATTTTTGACACTGCACAAAATCGTCTACAGAATGACAAGTACAATTGTTTGGATAAGGGTAGCATTTTCAAGGTTGCACATTTAACAAACTGACCAAGCTTTTTAGTAGTCGCAGGTTGTTCAATGGTAGTCTGTTTGAAGACTTTCACTACTTCATGCTGTACCGAGCAAACATAATATATACCCTTGCAAAAATTATGAAAACCTATGAAAAATGTCAATTTGACAGAAACCATTTGTAAATATATTTATTTGCCAAAAGAGAGCATCGCGTACTATACTATACTATACTAAAAAAATTAATGAATTTTAACCTTAGCTGCAATCTTCAAACAAGAGAATATAGTGTTTGCCTTTGAAAACAAATACTTTTTTGACAACAGTGTGTCTCAGGAAATTTATAATTAATAATTAAGTAATAATTCAACGTTTATTAACTACTTATAAAATTATTATTTATATATTAAAAAGAAAAAGGACGAATTTTATTTTACTTTTAAATAAAGAAAATTAATAAATAAAAATCATACCATTTATTGTAAAACACTTTACTGCAGACTAAATAGTTCCAGCTTTAATTTGTATTTAAAAGCTGCAAGAGAAGACGAGTAATCAATAGCAGTAGCAATAGGAGAAGAAACGCTTAAAGAGTTCTTTATAATATTAATATTGACATTTTGAATATCTATTCTATGGGCATTGGTATTTTGGTATTTTATAAACGAAACATGTTGCATGCACAAGAACCATGAATTACACATATCCCATTCACAGACCGACTGTGAGTGAGAAAAGTGCGTATTATCAGTGTATTAGCTGTTATATTAGAAAATGATTTTTAATTTACCTTTAGAAATAGAACTATATAGTATAGAAGAATACAGTACCAATTTATAACATATGACAGCCACTATAAATGACACTTTCAATGTGATTATGCTTTGAAATGATTGTTTTCTTAGACGGTCTTTGGCACAATTGGTGTTACTCTCCTGCATGCTATTTTCCATATCTTCTGATGTTGTAGGGGGGATTCACACAAACACGATCTTTAACATATCACTTAAATTATTCACAAATTCTCAAGCTTCTCAAGCTTCTCTTTTGAAGAAGTTGAGGTAAATCAATCTGCAGAAAGTTTAAGTATCTAGTCCGTTAAGTGTTTCGCGAAAAAAATATGGTCCAATAACCATTACCTTTTTTCAAAATCGCGGTATACAAGTTCTTAGTGTACTTGACGGCAATTTCAAAGTGAAGCGGAATTTCGAATTTTTTTCCTCATTGGTAGCATTCCGGTTTACCACTTTCCGTTTTTTATATTCAATATTACCACTAGCTTTCGGCACATTAAAAACGGAAGACATTGGTTAGTACATGTCTGTAAAATGAGGCTGCAAGTTCTAAACCTGTTATTCGAAAATTAAGTTATTTCTTTAAAATCCGTATCCACGGTCTGGTTATTTAATTGGCGCAGTCGGTAGGATGCGTGACCAGGGTTGACCTATTGATCTTAATTATTTGCGAATTAGGCAAGTTGAGTTGAAGAATTCTTACCATTCAATTGATAACTTCACTCACAACAATAAAATATTTCATTTTAGACCACAATCTCTAAATTCTGTACCAAATTTTGACGACTAAGTGTTTCGCGAAAAAGCTATGATCCAATAACTTTGTGTTTAACAAAATAAATAAGAACTTTTAGTTCTTATTTATTTTGAAAAATGGATTTTCATCAATTGAAAGCCACCTCAGTTCAACTTTGTGTTTTATTCTTAATCACACATTAAGCGACCAACAGTTTTGGTTTTGCACTTCCCGTACCCAGAATTGATTAAGTGTTGAATTATAGTGCATGTTATGACGATTTACTGCACCGTTACTGCGAAAAGTAGCTTCATCGCAAAACATTATTTTAGACATAAATTTGGATCGGCCTCTATTGCTTCATTTATAACGGGGTGGAAGTTTACCCTTTTTTCAAAATCACGGTCTAGAAATTCTTGGTATAGTTCCATATGGAAGGGACGATATTTGTGTTTCCTAGTTGTGTAATTAACGATATACTGAAAATTGTAGATCATCCTAAATTTGAAGTAAAATTTAGAATTCTTTCTCCTCATTAGCATGAAACCGATGCATCAAACACTGAAGAGGTTTTCTAGTTGATATACGTCTATTAAGTGACATCGCTTTCACACAAAATAATAACATATAGCGTGTTATTAGGATTTTTCAATTTAAAATTAAAAATATATTCGTTTCTTTTGAACACCCTGTAGTATCTAATTCAAATTCCATTGAATTTGTCTTTTACGTCATCTTCGAGAAACGCTAATATCAAATATGAATAACGTACCTTCAAAACTAATGGCGATAACGGATTTTTGCAACTGTGGAACTAGTATCTTTTAGAAAAATTGAATTATTGGAAAAATTAATCATTTACAATACTTACGTATTATCATTAAAAAAAACGTTGAAGAATTTTAAAAGTAAAGGAAAGGACAAGTGTATTTGCCAATTTGCCATTTCGTAGAAATAAATTAATCGGAATTCCGACAGATACATGTAAACACTTTAAGTAGAGAAGTAAACAACAGGAAACGTTACGCTAAATGGTTAACTAAACGTTGACAGAACAAAAATGTTTTGCCGTACATAGGGGGAAATGATGTGAACGCTGCTAAAATAAAAAAAATTATTTTCAAAAACACAACATAGATACAATGAGGTAAATTAACTCTAGATTTTCAGGAACTCATTGAAATTCTTCGCGTGGACATTCTGGGGATCGAATTTTTTCCTGATCCTAGCCCAGTCGTCGGGTCTGTTCTTCATGATGTAGAGCGAACCTTTCCTCACGATGTTCTTCTGCGAGTCTGTACATTTTGAGCATTTGGTCGACACTGCTTCCGGAATATGTTCTGAAATAAGATTTTAATTTGTTTTATTAATGTTTAATCAATGTGATTTGGTCAGGTCACTTTATGAGATCTGGTTCACCCATATTCAACACTTATAACTAATCGTGAATATTTCCGCATACGTTTTATTTGACCTTCGTCGTACCGCGGTTAAAAAGTTACGCACTCTAATTTGAACGCTTTGTGATATTTGATATAAAATGTAACAACAAAATTAAATAGTTAATGTAAATAAAATGTGTATAATGCATATTATGTTTATTGAAAAAGTTGAACAAAATAAACAATTTCCAAAAATGTTAAAAAAAAGTTAGACCAACTACTCTACGTTTTTCCGTACATACTCTGCAAATTATCTGTTTTACACTATGGTCAGTGCATGTAAATTTTTTGCAGTCGCAACATTGTTGCCTGGATTTGCATTCTTTCTTTCTATTGCACAAATAACATCGTCTAATAACAGGTCGTTCAGGTTCGTCGGAATGGATTTCATGGTGGTTTTCCAATTCTGGAAACATTTCTAGCACATATGATTTGACGCTATTGGGAATTCTTGGTTCTGTTTTAAACCTTCTTATGACATTTTCCCTAATCGATGACTCTCCTAAGTCCAAAAGAAATTTTCTTCTACTGTCTTTGCTTTTTGATTTTTCATTTGGAAATTTTGCACTCCATAAAATAAATGCATGGGCCATCTAGTACTAATTCGACGAGCTGTATATTCTTTTACCATTTTATCGGTAGTGTCTACAGCACCTTTTGTTTTATTATAATGAAGTATTATGTCAGGCTTGTACTTCATATTTTCCCCCGCAACAGAATCATCATAATGTTCCGTAGACAACATAAGAACAGCCTTATTCTTGCTAACCAAACCAAACATGGGTTTATAAGAGTTCTTCGGGACTATAAGATTTATTTTTTCGTAATGTTTCGCAAAGAGTCATTTGTTTCTCTAATAGTTTATCTGGTATTGACAAACTTGTAAAGAAATTATCTGTTGTTATGCCATATCCGGTTCCTAGATCTCCTACAAGATCTAAGACGACTCTTTCGCCTTGATTCTTTACTGCTGTATTATTAATTTTTTCCAATTATGGTTGCATATTGATAGTGCATGAATTTTCACTATCTGCTGCCGCCCAAATATTCAGACCATATTTATCTTGTTTACTTTTCACATAAACTCTAAATGAACAATGACCTGTAAATCAACTAGTTGCTCATCTACTGTAATATGGCTTCCGGGATTATAACACTTTTTGCTATTGTCCACAAAAATGTTGAAAGCTTCTCTTACCGGTGCAAGCTTATCAGTTTTCTTTCTGACTTCCCTTATTTTTAAACTCGTCAACAATTGAAAATGTAAGCGACACATAGTTGCAGGAATAACTGGTCTAGTGTAACCTCTTTTGGTACACCACACATTACTATCGGTTTTTTTGAAGCTTGAAGGGCACCTAAAATTAAAATGGGGCCTTTATTTCAACATCTGTTGATCTCCATATGCGTTGTAGAGGTTGTGTTTGATTTGGGTGTTTTTCATTCATTTCAAGTTTGAAAATATGACAAATTGGACAGGGATAAGTATTATTAGTGAATAATGTCATATATTGCCTTATCATTAGTATGACGGACTATCATTTCTATAAATTCGTCTGTCAGAAGTAGTCTAAATGAATCAAGTTTTGAAGCAATATTGATAATGTGTCCAGGTTTTTTTCCTAATTATATTTACAACTATTTGTCGTTTTTGTCTAGGTGGTATTTTATATCATTTTGTGTTATATTTGGTTCGATAAAATAATCTACCTTCTTCTAAGATTTCTTCAATATCGTCAGCCCCTATTACACTGCTCACAGCACCATTGTCATTTTCTTCTTCTATAATCACATCTTCAGACACTATTTCACTCATTATCACGCATCATCACTATCTTTCTCACTATCGCAGAGTTCTATGTCAGCGTCATTGAGGTCGTCATTCAATAATTGTTCTCTAAACTCTAAATCGGTTAATTTATTTGGATGGCGAAAATTTATTTTATCAGACATTGTGTAACATTTCACGCTAGCGATATGATTTCAAAAATCAAAAATGTCTGACACCAGCTGATATTTACTGTATTGCGCATGACCGTGAGTAATCAGAATGAGTATCTTGGTAAGTGTTTTTGATGCACGTCGTAACTAAAATATATAGAAAATGAATCTGTAAATACTAAATGAAAAGTTTAAAGTGTAAAGTTTTTAAAAAGATATTAGAAAAATTGAGTTGTTGGGGTACATTTGTACCCCACACGGTACAACGAAGGTTAATTAGTATTAAAGAGTTAGATGGACGCATATACCATTTTTAAAAATTAATATTTCTTAATTAAAAAAGGCGTCAAGTGCTGTTGGTCAATATTAATTTTCAATGTCAACCAGTTCCGAAATTGGATTCGGATTTGCGGCGAAACAACATTGAAATCCGCTATGGTCGCTAAAAATCCGCCAGGAGAAATGCGTAATTAAAATAATTAATATATAATGTTAAAATACAAATACTGAAACACACTCGAGTAGTTCGATCAGTTAATTAGATAAGATATTTTCGTGTTTCAATATGACTTAGTCATCACGGTCGCGATCTTTATTTGCCTCTTAAGGTGGACTAAAATATTTCCTTTTCAAGATATAGGGTATCAAAGTTTATACGTTTCTTATATACAGGGTGTCCAGTATAAGATGATGTAAGAGATACAGCGTGTCTCTAATGCTTTATCTATATGCCAAAAAATAATCTTGCTTTGCTTCATTTTAAATCGATACCTTACTTACAGGAAAGAACCACGATGTTTTCTGAGCTGAACAGTTCAAAATTTCAGAAAATGAGTAAAAGGATACGGTGATGCTAAAAATTGGGTCAAAAAATTTTGGGCGCCAAATTGAAGATATTTATGTTTGGACGAGATAAATTCGAAGAAAGAATAGAAATAAGATATCGGGATAGTAGGCTTTGATATCGCTGCGTTTGTTTTCCATTAAGTTGGCCGTGCCAGCGTATCCCAGGTGATTCGTAATTATTGTAAACAGTCAGTGTCAGTTCTGTAAAGGCGTTTGAAAGACAACCTTGTCACCGGAGTTTCGATAAGGTGAAAAATAACAAACCTCCAGGAAGAGGCGTTGCTCGGTCAACAACGAATAGTATTTTAAACCGTCCTAGATATCGTAGTTATTGTATTGTGACAGTGGTTTATTCAGAAAAATAACTAGATATCCAATTTTCTTTTCCCTAAGGTCGAATAAGTGCCGATTTTTAGTTTTGCGTCAAGTGAGGTGGGAATGTAACGTTTGGTTTGGTATTTTGGGTACCCATAAAATATTTTTTCGAGTCAATTGTTCGAACACGCAAAACATTAGACCCATTAAATACAGCTGAAATAGAGAACGTGACTACAAAATTCTGCCATGGTCCATGGTCCGGTTAGGGCAAAACGGGAGACATATTGAACATTTACATTAATTGTTACATTCAATACGGTATTTATTTGGCACTTTTGTTATAGTCTCTCTCTATCTTCATCGTGCTGGCTTTTGCTCGCAAAACAATATATTCTCTTTCTTATTATGGTCTGATGACTGTTGTCTATAATCTTATCGACTATAGTGCCGTCTTTGTAAGTAGATAGGTTTCTTTAAAAGTTTCATACACATTTTTCACAACCTGTTTTGAATCAGGCGACAAGTGATTTGGACCCTACATTATTATATTCTCGTAAAATAACTTTTTCGAAGCGCACAGTAAAAACAATTATTCAACACTGCCACAAACGGTCAACACTCAAAAAATATATCTTCATAATCATCATAACATCGTCAAAGTTTCATTGGGGAGGGTCCGTCGATGAAGATTGAGACAGACTGTAACAATTTTATAAGATAACTTTTTTAATAAGGATAAATTAATAAACAACGCACTGTATAACTAGAAGATATGTTCTAAGTGTATCAAATGCATAAAACCAAAATTAAACAAGTATACAGTATGACAAGACAAGATGACGATGGATATCACGGGAAAATTGGAAACCGGAACAAATGGTAAAATTAAAAAAGTAGCAAAATTTAAAGGTTCTCTAAAATTATAAAAAATTATAAATTATTATATATTAGCACTTTTTGAAGTCTACAAAATGACATTGAAAGATTTTAAGTACGACGTTTCAAACATTAAAATACGCCATGCAGCAATGGATCAATAAAATTAATTTGACATTTTTTCAACGCCCTCGTGTCGGCTCCTTCTACACCAAAACAATGAAAATTTAACAAAAGCCCCTCTTTATGATTAAGACAACGTGTTGTGTCGTACATCGTTATATTCGTAGTTTAAATAAACCTGGTTTTGTAAAGCTCAAAATTAGTAACGAAGAAGTGACTTCATTTTTTTAATTCACTTCAATTAACACCAGAAAAAATGAAAACGAAATCGCAAAATTTCTATTTTTTTTTTTGGAGATGTTGATAATTTTTTATTTTTCCCAACAACACGCTATTAACCTCTAAATTTTGCAACTTTCGTGGGTTTGAATATCCCCATGACATACATCCGCATCTTGGACAGACTGTATAAGTGTATTTTGTAGTTTCAGCTGCCCTTTCATTCCTATTTTAGAAAACACTAAGCCTCGAACTATTCACGCTTACGCTATGCACCTATTGCAACAATTTGTTGAAATTTTCCTAATTATACTCAAGACAAGCTGTTTAAAATTAAATACTTTTTCTATTAAAAAAAATATTTACTTTTAATATTAATTACTAATTGGTCCTCTGATATTTAAAACGGTTTTAAAAACAAAAAAAATTATTTAGAATTAGTAATGCGCAAATGCAAATAACATTAAGATAAAATCAATTCTATTCCAAAAAAAGGAATTGCGTTTCATTTTAATTAACAATTAGCAGCCGTCGTGAAAGTTACATTTCCAATTTTGGTTTTATTACAGCTGATATTTAGAGGGCTTCTTAAAATTTTGAGAAAAGTTGTTTTTAGAAAAACATGTCATTTGCAAGTAATAATATGCAAAAACATACAACATTGAAATAAAATACAATTGTCAATATCGCATTCACTGCAGCTGATGTTTAAGACGCTTCGAAAAATAAATCATTTGCATTGCCTTGCATATCATTTGCAAGTAGGAATGTGCAAAAACACACAACATTAAAATAAAATCGAATTTATCCAAAAAAATAAGGTATATCTTTAATAATAAAAGCCATGCAAGCTAAATTATTCATTTTGGTTTCAACGCAGCTGATATTTAAAACGTATTAGAAATTAAAAAGAAAATTATTTTTGGGAAAACATGCCATTTACAAGCTGCAATGTGAGAAAATAAACCTCATTAAAATGAAATTAAACGTATTCCAAAAAAAGGAATTACATTCGATTTTAATTAATAATTATAGGCCATGTAAGTTAAATTGTCAATTTTGATTTCAATGCAGCTGATATTTAGAGCGCTTTTAGAAATTAAAAGAAGGTATTTTTAGAAAAACATAATCTACAAGTAGTAATGTGCAAAAACAAACAATATGAAAATAAAGTTATACTAAACAAAGGAATTACCTTAAATTTTAATTAATAAATAAAATTAAAAACAGACGTTTTTAATAAAACATATAATATTAATTATTATTAATTAATAAAACATATTTACGAGTAGCAATGTGCAATTGGAAACAAAATTAAAATAAAATCAAATCTATTCAAAAGAAAAAGAATTGCCTTTAATTTTAATCAATAATTAGCTTTCATATAAGTTAAATTGCAGCTGATATTTAAAATGCTTGAAAATATTTTAAAAAAGTTATTTTTAGAAAAACATATAGTAACTTGCACCTACAATTCTGAACATTTTTTTTTTATAAAGTAATGGGACTTTTCTCTGTTGTTGAGCTCGAAATATTTCAGACAATTTTATTGCAAATTTTAAAAACGACTATGTTTCGGATAATTTGTACCATCTAAACAGAAACAATATTATATTTACATTTATGACTAATAAAACGCCTTAAAAGGCAAACTCACTTCTAAGTTCCCTCCCTTCGGATGTACAAGGCCCTTCGTCTAATATGCACTTGATATAGTTGGTCAACACACGCTTGTTTGATAAAATCGACTCGATATCCAAATTATCGTACCTAGTCGAATACTGCTGAGCCAAGCAAATTGCCGATTGACAAAGCAACGCGACTATCAACAGCTTGTTCATTTTTTAAATGCTCGCACAAACATCGATCGCTCCGAATCGATCGCCAGATGTTTATATACATTTGGAAGGAGGTAGATTCCCCAAGACGCAAAGATCGATTACGAAGCAAAATAAATAAATACTTGTGACGCGGATTTTTAATATTGACGTTTTTTTGCAGCCGTTTTTTTACCTGCACGTTAATTTTAATAAATAATGGGGAATCGGTCCGCATGTTTGTGATTTAGGTAAAAAAATACCATGCTTGATTAAATATAATTGAAATCTTAGTTACCTTTGATATTTTAAATTAATGAGGTCATCAAAAAGTCGTCTGCCCGTCTGAAATATAGCGTAAACGTAGCATATTATATAACCTAGGTGAGAAATACGTATATGATCGTTGTCCGTGTGTTTTTGTTCTAACTGTAGGATAGACGTCCTTGTTACTTTCGAAAATCGATAAGTATGAAATGGCGCTGATCCAACGCCGGTATCCATCTTGTTTTCGCGATTTACGACTGTTTTTTGCACCTTGCTATGAAACACGATAAGCGTCCGAAATTTGAAGCAATCAACTTCATATTTGGCAAATATATGGAGCTTTGCCCCGTGACAGAGCCTGTCGTGGGGAGGCTGGGGGGTCGGGAAGTATTCTAAAAAACATCATCTTTCAAAAACTGTTTATGAGACCCAAAAAATTCTTGAACTAGAAGAAGCAGCAGATACGGCTCTACAAACTTTTATTCGTGACAATTTTTCAAAAATATACAGGGCGCGCCGCAAATTAAAAAAAAAACGAAAAATGGGTCCCCCTATTATTGAAAATTGGCAATAATTTCCGCTTTTGTCTGGGAATTATTGACGATACATGAAAAACTTTTAAAGATGTGTTAATGTGATATGAACAGTGTCGTAAACTGTGTCGAGAGAGAGAGAGTTTAAGGTTTCGTCTATAATACAGGGGTCGCGAGATATTTGAAAAAATATAATCTAAAATTGCAATTACCAGTAAAAATTTTAATATTTGCCGAAGTGTGCTGTAACTTTGAAGTTCGACGAGATGTGAATGAAACTTTATTTAGGGTGTATTCACAATCAAATTGCATCGATTTTGCGAACGTTCCATAGTGGTCCGCAGGAGCACGACAGAAAAACATTGCGTCCCTCTAGGACAAGCATCCGCGAAGCGCCTGCTTTTCAAAATAAAAAGGTGATTCCGCGCTATTTGCTACGAATTTGCCCGGCTCACTGACGATTTTTCGAAAGCAATCTTGTTTTGAAAAATTGAACTTTTAGTTCTTATTTATTTTGAATCTTGTTTTGTCTGTTAATGGTATGATTAGTGTGATTACCATTAAGAAAATGAATTTTTCCTTTTTGGATGTTTTTTAATATAATCGGTGTTTTTTTTTTCGATGTATTGAACTTTAAGTTGTCATTACTGTTCAAGATGGCGACCGACTTAACAGCTGTCAAGTGATTTATTCTCAGTTTGGTTTGGCAATTCATCATGAACAGACTCCCGCCTGAACAACGCTTGCAAATAGTGCGATTTTGTTTCGAAAATAATGGTTCTGTGCGGAATACATATCGCGCATTACGTCCATTTTATCGTCGACAAAATCGTCAATCAGAGCAGTTAATTCGATTAACCATGGAACGTTTTCGCACCACGTTTACACTTATTGATAACTCGCATCCCCAGAGACGCCGTACGGTGCGTACAGAAGAAGCTATTGCTGCTGTAGAGAGTAGCATCGAGGAAGACCCGAATGAGTCCATCCGCCATCGAGCACAGGAATTGGATCTGTGTCCATCCGCTTTATGGAAGATTTTGCGGAAGGATCTTGGTTTACGTGCATACAAAATCCAACTCGTGTAAGAATTGAAGTCAAACGCCAAGGCGTAGATTCGTCGAAAACGAGATTGCCGTTGTTCCCGAATTTCATAAGCGAATTTTATTTAGCGATGAAGCGCACTTCTGGTTGCATGGCTACGTTAACAAACAAAATTGCCGCATTTGGAGCGAAGCTAATCCTCAAGAATGAAATCATGATTCATTAATATATGCATTAGAAATGTTCAAATTTTGTTGTTGCAGTATTTCAATCCGGGAATATCTGATGGAATTGCTGGCATAGCATTTTTGGACAAGTGTTGGGTATTTGGTAAAGGAGGGTCTAGAGAACGCATTCGGACAAAATATTGTAAAGGAGTTCCCTATATAATTTAACATGCTGGCTCTAAAAATGGCTTTATGGAGTATGCCAGTTTTATTTCTCAATCGGGTCGAAAATCAGGGGACTACCATGTTTCAATGAACACTGAAAATTTTGAACAATGATTTAGATTTCTTTTTTTAAGGGAAAAGTAGACTTTTTCTAACCTAAGAACAGAGATAATAGATAATTTTAGTTATTATAATAAGTTTAGTTTTAGTGTTGTGTCCGTCAGAAGCCATTCAATAATTTCATCAACTGGTAGAGAGCACCTTTAATCAAAACATTGGTTCTTGGAGTTACTAGGTGAAATACAGGTTACTGTCCTTGAAGGAACATGAAAAGTCAGCTGTCTCAGCAACTCAGGCCAATCCACTAATGCAAAGTTTATATAAAATCTAAAATGAAAAGCACCTCCTATGATTGAACAGTGAGAGAACCTTCAACATTAATAACAAATCACTCTGTGGCAGTCCCCTAGCTGGGGAAGAACCATTTATTTGAAATTTCAGAAAATTTCCCTGCACGTTTTCAATTTAAGTGAACCACATCGTTGAACCATAAATAACAGTTTTAAAGTATGTCCCCTAGCAAAATCTAGAGAATTTCTCTATGAATGCCAGCAGTTTGAGTGCACCTCCACAGGTTTCATCGACGTGATTCCGAAAGGAGAGCTTTGTGTGAAACGTTTCACCCAGGTCTTTAAAATTGTCACATTTTGTTAGAAACACGTGATCCGGATGGTAATTAAAAGTTATAGAATCAATTTTGTTTGAAAATAGTATTGCGAAACAATGAAACACATTCCAGTTATCGAACCATTACTTAGAGGGTCTAGATATTCAAAGTTCTTGGAGAATGATTTGCATCAACTTCTTCAAGAAGTTGAAAATATTTAGATAAAACAGATGAGCTCCTCCGCATTTACATCGAGAAGTTCGAGAAATTACGGTGGAGGTGGCCTCCTGGATCACGTGATATAATACCACTACATTTTTTTTGGTGTAGATATGCTGAAGAAGTGAATCGATTTTTTGCGGATGACACACAAGCGAATCGTGGTGTTTTTCATGAATAGGGATTCGGAAGTTTAGAAAATAAACCCGCAATAGCCAGAGGTCTGTCGAATTGTTCTTTTTTACCGACCGGTAGACGCGAGCAGCTCTTTACTAATTTAGGAAGGAACTCTCGCTTACCGGCCCTTAAACATCGTGGAATTTCGGCACAGGTGCTTCGGGTATCCACTTGAACGAAAAATTTTAGAATACGTAGTGATGACCCGTGGTGTGCTCCAGGGTAGCATTCTAGAACCAGTCGTCTTCATGTGTTACCGTGAAATGCATAAGTTATAAGAATAATATTTATTTTGATTAAAACATGGAAGAAGTAATATTATCTACAAAACTATTTTTTTTTACTTTAAAAGGTGGTTCAGTCAATAGCTGTTTCCCAATCTTAGTAAAACATCATTAACAATAATGCACAATGCATCGTATTAGAGAGATATTCGCAAGTTCGATGCTGTTTTCGTATAAATACGGGGCAGAAAATACCATTCTCAACTGAAATCTGCTCCACATCAAAAAAAAAAAAACCAATTATTTGTCCGAGAAAGAGTGGTTTCAAGTTCATATGTGCATTTTTCAGATAGATTTCAAGATAAAACATTCTGAATATAAAAGTCTTCCATTTTTATTTTAAATTGCTTAAAAATTATGTTCCTAAGATTATAAAAATTTGTAGTAATTTTTAGTATTGTATATCATAACTGCACAACATCTCTGACTGGAGTATACAACAAGTGGGACGTGCAAAATGACGAAACATTGATACAATAATAAGAAAAGTAACTAATAACTATTAGACAGTCATACCTATCGATCTCCCAGAATATATTTCAAAAACCAACAATTTTCTTAAACCAGAAAGAACTTTTCCTTTGTATCAAACACGATCCTACTGAGTTATATCAAAGACAAGTCAAGGATGTAATTACTAACTCCACATTATTTAGTGACAAAGACAAATGTTTTTTAACAATTATGAATTCACAACCGCCTAAATTACATTCTTTAGTTAAATTACATAAACAAGATATGCCCATTAGACCAGTCGTGTCTTATGTAACAGCTCCAGCAGTTAAACTGTCTACAAAATTAGTAAATATTTTAAAGTTCCACACAGATTTTAAACCAAATTTTGCAATAAAAAATTCTTTTGAATTAATCAACAAAATTAAAGATATCAAAATCCCTTCTAACGCAACTCTATTGTCTTTTGATGTACAAAATTTATTTCCCAGTATTCCACCTATGGGTGTGATAGATTTAGTAGATTTTACCCTAATTCGGAAACAGGTTAACCCATTGGTGAAACAAGATATATTAGATTGCTTAATAGTATCTTTAGACCAAAATGATTTTGAATTTAATGGACAGATTTATATCTCTAAAGAAGGTATGATTATGGGAAACCCACTTAGTCCTTTGTTAGCCGAGATTTTTATGGATAATTTGGAAAAAATCATACTAGAACATCCTTTAAGTAAAAGTTTTTTATGGTGGTATAGATATGTGGACGATGCCTTTGCTTGCTTTGTTGGAACGGACAGACAATTGAATTCTTTTTTAAATTACATTAACTGAATACATAATCGTATAAAATTCACTATCGAAATTGAACAGGATAACTCTATTAATTTTCTAGACTTAACTATTACGAAAGTGCAAAACAAATTAGATTTTTCAATTTATCATAAACCATCACACACGGACAGAGTCATACATAACAGCTCAAATCACCCTTATACACACAAAATGGCTGCATTTAACTCTTTTACTTCTTAATACGCCACTCTCAACAGAAAATTACAACAAAGAAGTTAATATCATTAAACAAATAGCACTGAACAACGGCTACAATCCGTCCATTATAGATAAAATTATAAATAAAAAACAAATGCAGACAACAGTAAACTCTATTTATCTGAAACCAAATACAGAACACGAACAATTTAAAACATAGGAGAATTTAGCGAAAAAGTTTCAAAATGTGGTTTAAAAATAGCTTTCAGAACTAACAACATAATAGGAAAATATTTAAAAAACAATAAATCGAAATGTTCAAAATCCCAAAAATCAGTCTAGATGCTAATTATGCTACACACTTGAACACAGAAAAACACATTTTTGACGACAATTTTGATATATTACACACAGTTACAAAAAGTAGAAAATTAAATTTATTGGAAGCCATGGTGATTAACAAAGTGATACATTCAAATGTATTGCTTAACGATCAATTACATTTAAATACCTCTCATTTATTGAACTTAAATTCTCGCAACAACATTAATAAAGGTTCAATGGTCATTTTTCGGTATATATAGTAGCAGGTAGTTTGTAAATATTACATTTGATAAAGACACGATGTTGTCGAAACAATTGTCATGTCATAATATAAAATTTCGTGAAAATCTGAACTTTTAGTTCTTATTTATTTTGTTCTATAAGGGGTTGCGCTTTTTTAGTAATAACCAGTATGCAAAGTTAATTACGGGGCATACTGTATAAGTGCATCAAATACAAAATTTTAATCAGTAGGTAGATCGTAAAATTAGAAAAAAGTTGCAAATTAAAAAGAGAAGGTCAATCAATAAGTGATGTCAACGCTAATAAACTAAAACTTTTTATTTCAAAAGATGCAACAGAGAAACAAATAGAAAAAATAATTGTAGATTCGCAGGAACAAGTCGATATTCTTGGCGTAGACATCCCGTGGATCGAATTTCTTCCTGATCCTAGCCCAGTCGTCGGGTCTATTTCTCATGATGTAGAGGGAACCTTTCCTTACAATGTTCTTCTGCGAGTCTGTACATTTCGAGCACTTGGTCGACACTGCTTCCGGAATATGTTCTGAAATAGGATTTTAATTGTTTTTTTTAATGATTAATCAATTTTAATTGGCCAGGCCACATTATGATATCAGCTTCATTATCCTAATACTTGCAACTTATTGTTAATATTTCTGCTGTTAATATATCTGAATAAGAAGAGGCAAGTGATGTTTGTCATCTTGTTTATCCCACATACGAAAAAATAAGTTCTTTCAAGGTCAACCAGTTCCGAAATTGGATTTGGTTTTAACGGGCGACAGCAGTGGTCACAAAAAATCGAGAAATACGTCATTGTAATCATTAATATATGATGCTAAAAAACAAATACCTAAACGCACTGAATGAACAAAAAAAGTAATCCCTCAATCTAAACCAGTTCCTAATTTTCTAAAAATGTGTCGCTTCCTGATTGGAATTTTTTTTTCCGATTTTATAGGTATTTTCCGTAGCTTCATTCAAATTTTCCATGCAATTAAATTAGACCAAAAATATTCAGATTTTCACAGTGTTTATGACAGCTGTTTCGGCAATCATCAATATTCTGACATCTATATATATATATATATATATATATATATATATATATATATATATATATATATATATATATATATATATATATATATATATATATATATATATATATATATATATATATATATATAAACTGATAGTGATCGATTAATTACCGATAATAAATTCAAATATCCCATTTTGTTAATCTCCATAGCTTACATCAAATTTAATTCTTTGCTTTTTGAGTCACTATGTAAAACATCAAAACTTGCTGACGTTTCGCCAATCATTCTGTTGGCTAGTTGAAACAATTTAAGTTAAGCTGTGAAGAAGTCAACACAATGATTGGCGAAACGTCTGCGAGCTCAATTCAGCAACAACTGACGCTGGAGGAATACAGAAGACTTGTAAATAGTATTACGGTAGCTTGTGGAAGTTTCTTTGAAAAATTACCAAAATTCTCGTCAAACCTGCTCAGTTCTGAATTGAAATGGTTGGCATAGTTAGAATCTGAACATTTATTTTTATACCTGTTTTGCCGATATAAATTTTGGGACACGATTCACAATTCACCTTGTTGACTCCGTATTTTTGAGTTTTTCGTAACTTACTTTTCTGTTTAATTTTTCTATGGTGTTTTAAAAACAATCCTAACACCAAATTTCAATAGACGTATCGAAAATTTCTTGCTAGGTTCTCCCATATATTTTATTGTTTTTATAAATTTTGGGTTCGGTAGAGGTCAGATTTATAGTTAGTTATGATCTTATCAAAAAGGGGAGGGAGGGTAACTATAGTTAAAAACTATTTATTTTATAATATTCAGTTCTTTTCCCAAATATTCTGTGGAAAGGACAGTGGAATAAAAAGCAGTTGTTTGTGCGTGAGGGTGATTTAAGTTATTCTATAATACTGTGTCCGCGTGGGAGTATTTTTGGTAAATGGAAAAATTTGATTTGTTCTATAGTTTAGTTACAGTTAAGCCAGGCAAGTTTAAGAAATTATCTAGTTCGCTCCATGTGATACATTTTATGGTTATTAATTATTATCATGATTCAAGAAGGACTGCAGTTGTTTTTCCTTTGCAGTCAAATACGCAAAATCATCATCGTATGTATACCACCAAAGAAACAGTTTTGGTCTAAACGAACTAGTCTTGTTTTATGATAAAGTTGACTCGTCTCTGAGTGATAATAATGTCTATTGCGTGTATTATTTCAATCGGTAAAATGCTAGGAAATAGATTTTGGACTTCAAAGCACACTAAAATTGACTGAGGAAGAATTATAATGTCTTTAACCATGTTGCTTAGTTGGAATGAATTTTTGATAACATATCTAGACTTAAAAGCAGTATGATATTCTAAAATTTTTATTAATCTTGTTGAAAGTTTAACTGATGGTGCTGTTACAGAAGAAATTACTAAGTCTTATTTTTAAATGTATTAAAACTTAACTGAAGAATCCGAAGTTTACAATTTGAAATGTGGATCATGTCCCAAAATTTAAATCGGACAAACAGATAGAACGTTTAAGAAAAGAATTAATGAACACAAAAGAGGAAAGACTTCAAAAACGTACAATTTTGACGATGTATTTCACAGAATCAATCACAAAGCGGAAAAATTAATTTGTTGGAAGGTATGGAGATTAACAAAATGAGATATTCGAATCTCCTAGAAGTCCTACGTTATGCGCAAATGGAAGTTTATGTCGGCACAAACTTGGAATCAGAGACAAGATTGGATGGCAATATAATCCCAAACTTATGGCCACCTAGCTACCCGGAACTTAAGCTCCGTATGGTTCGCAGTTGAGCGAGAGACCAATAAACATCCCCATAACACTATTTCTTAGCTGAAGGATACTGTAATAACCTAATTAATCAGCAAGAAGAAAGAGCATTGATGTTATGTAAAAATTCCGGGGAATTATAATAAATTTTCCAATAATATTGAACAAAAAAAATAATAATATCAATTCTTCTTCAAATATCGTACGCACTCTGTAAATGTCGGAATATTGTCATATTTTGAATTTGATAAAGACCGAAACAGCTGTCATAAATCAATAAATAACTGTGGAAATCATTTTTTGTTCAAATTGAATTGTGTTAAATGGATTTTTATCAAGTAAAAGCCCCCTCAGGTCAATAAATGTTTACGTATATTTGAATACATAGTGTGCAATTTTTTTTCGCTTGCTGTAAAATGATGTTAATGGATGTAGATTTTTTTTTAATCAACGATATTTTATGTCATTATTATTAAATACCGGGAGACACTCAAGTCGTTAGCTACCAAATTACTGCCTGCAAAAATAAATACGAAGTTTCTTATTTAATAAAACCAGCTTAATAACAGAATAATTTAATGCGATATGTAATATTCTTCCTAAATTAGCACTTACTTGTAAATGACGCTACTTACGTGCCTTTTTGTCACTTGGGGATTTACCCAATTACGTACGACTCATTTTAATTGAAAATTAGCCGCTAAGAAAGTCCCCAGATTTCCCAATTTTGGTTCAAATACAACTAATATTAAAAAATATATTTCTCTTTTTGGGGTCACATTCCCGAACTGGAAACATTTCTGAAAATTCAGTTGCAAACTTCAAAAATTGCTAGATTTTGCAAAACTTATACCACCACAACCAAATAAAGCATCTGTGCATATGTATTTCGATGCAGTAACTAATACGACGATTTAAAAAATATACTTACTTCTAAGTTCCCTGCCTTCGGATGTACAAGGCCCTTCGTCTAATATGCACTTGATATAGTTCGTCAACACACGTTTGTTTGATAAAATCGACTCGACATCCAAATGATCGTACCTAGTCGAATACTGCTGAGCCAAGCAAATGACCGAATGGCAAAGCAACGCGACTATCAACAGTTTGTTCATTTCTTAAATGCTCTCACAAACATCGATCGCTCTCAATCGATCGCAACATATTTATATACATTTGGAAGCAGGTGTCGATACGGTAAATTCCCCAAAGACGCAAGGATCGCAGGCCTATTTGTGTGCAAGTGATTATGATTACGAAGCGAAATAATTAAATACGTTGTGACGTCGATATTTAATATTGATTTAATGTTGGAAAATAATTTCAACAAATAAATGGGGAATCGGTCCTTATTGAATAATTATCTATGATATTGAATGATTATTTTTCAGTTTTTTCACCGAAAATGAAATACACTGGCCACCAAAATGATATACATGCTGTCCAGTATAAGATGATGCATAGGGTGGAATACAGGGGTTGCCTAGCGTTGGGAGTAGTACCCAAGTAATGGCAACAGGTAAGGGTCCTATACTTGCCAAAAGTAGGCAGGACGATGGACCGCACTCCAAAGGCATATAGACCCATAAGCCTATCCTCATTTATGCTGAAAACCCTACTGAAAAGCTACTGGATAGGTATCTCAGGGACAACGTAATACAGAATTTCCCGCTAAGCGAGCGGTAATATGCTTACCAACCGGGAAAATTAACGGATCTAGCTCTGGATGACCTAAATAGGCTGCTCTCCAAGACACTGGAAGACAAGGAGATAGCTGTGGCAACCTTTTTAGATATAGAAGGGGCGTTCAACCACGCCTTAACAAAATCGATCACAAAAGCCTTGGAAAGGAGAAGAGCTCCAAAAACGCTGTGCAAATGGGTAAAAAACAGTCTAAGGAACTGGGCCATAATATGCACACAAGGACAAACCACCATAAAGGCAGCAGTGAGGAGGGGATTTCCACAAGGAGGAGTACTCTCTCCTCTGCTATGGGCCATATTGGTGGATGACCTACTGCAAAAACTCTCTGCAAAAGGCTTCTACTGCCTAGGATATGCAAACGACGTCGTGATTGTGGTACGAGGAAAATTTACCAATACCCTCTCAGAGAGAAGTCAGGAGGCTATTAAAATCGTGGAAAACTGGTGCCAAAACGAACGGCTAACAGTTAACCCGAAGAAAACGACAGGACTGAAATCGCCGGTGGTAAAAACAAGTCTACACTTCTCCAGGGAGGTAAAATATTTAGGAGTCAGCCTTAAGAGACATCTAAGCCTGATGGAAGTGGAAGAAACACAGAATGTAGATTCTGTCAGGAAGAGGAGGAAACAGCCGCACACGTACTGTGCCATTGCGAAAGCCTAACGAGCGTGCGTTTCCATCTGCTAGGCGATAACAAACCAGAGGCAGAGAGCCATACGAGGGAGCAATTATCGAAGTTGTGGAGTCTGGTTAGAGAGACGAACCTGGATAAAGCTCTGTAGGTATGGAGAGAGTCACAATCGATCCTCTGGGTCGCAGTGATGAACAGGCTGACTGCTAACTCTCCCAACTGTTAATCTTAATCTTAATAGGGTGGAACGCTACCTTGTCTCAGAAACTATATGGGATGGAGCCAAAAGTTAATAATTGGGATATTAGAAACCCTTAATTTATTTTAATGTTATATATACAGAGTCTCAACTTTCTTATTTTAAATGGAACACCAGGTATACTACTTCATTTTTGAATTATATACAAAATTCTAGACATATTTTATGCATAATGTCTTATACCTAAGTCTAACCGTTTTTGACTTTTTTAATTTTTAATGCGAGTCAGTTTTGTTGTCGACGAAGGACTGGAATCGCGAATTGCTAAAAAACTTTTTTTTATGGAAGCTACTCATTTTTATAACCTTCTCATATTTAGCATTAAAAATGAAGGCAATTTTATATAAGGTTGTATCTGCCTAAATACTTTTTGAAATATTTCCTTTTAAACATTAGTCTATAACAAATAATACACTATTGCCATATAAGTTCAGTTAATTTAAGGTGGCTATGACGGAGTTTGAACGAAACAAGTGCTACAGTGATGCCACTATGATTAACCATTTCATAGTTGAGTATAATCTTGTCGATGCGCTTATTTATACAAAATAAGCGATAGCGTTGGCGATTGTTTTTGTTAATGAACGATCAATAAAAAATTAATAGGTAACAAAGGATAATAATTATTTTAACAGTTGTTCAATATGTCCGGCAGTTTGAGCAACACAAGCAGTATAAAGGGTTTTTAAATACATAATCGTATTTCTAAGATTCGGCTTAAATCTTCAGGGGTCTCTGCAAAATGCAACAAAATGTTAATTTGCTCTCCATTATTCAAAATATGACGACGTCTTTCTTCAAAATTCCATATATTCTAAAGTGTTCGTTTATATTGTACGATATGTAAACTTTCTAACATATCAATCTTTGCCTCTGTGGTAAACATAATCCGCAAGCAGCATTCTAGCACTTGTTTTGTTTAAACGCCGTCATAGCCACCTTACACTAACTGAACTTATACGAGGTTAGCGCCAAAATTTCCCGGCCTGACATAGATCACGGTAAAACTTTGTCTTCTTTTAAATATATATCTTAGTATGCTGCGAAAAAAAAAATTGAAGTCTTGCGCCAAATAATTTTTCATTAATAGCATTTTAAACAAGACGTGTCCGAAAAAATGTCGCAAATAACGCAAATTGAGTACAGAGCAGTCATAATGTTTTTGACAAAAGAAGGGTTTTCCACCTAAAATTATTAAAGAAAGGCTGAATGGTGTGTAGGGCCAAAGTTTTCCTTCGTATTCTGTAGTGTAGATTCTGTTCTGTAGATTTAAGAACTGATCGACTAGTGGAGGCCATAACGCAAGATTAGTGACGGAGGTTATCATTAAACTACGTGACGACAGTAGCGATAGCTACGATTTTTTAAGTGACTGATACTTTATTATTATAATATTCAATATTTTGCATATTAATAGTTATGCTATGTAGAAATGTAATGTAATAAATTGTTACTTTGTACTATTTTTTTTATGATGTACATATTTTAATTAAAAGATCGAAAACGTACTTATATCCCGCTTGTCAGTGTTGGTAGATAAATTCCTAGTACGGTCCTGGAATGGTCACGGGTAAGAGTCTGCTCGGAGGGTTTTCAATAAGGGGCTGCGGTTTTGGATTAATAAACAGTAGGCAAAGTTAACCACCTGATTGGTTGTAAAAACGCCATATTTCTGGTCATGGTATAATTTTTATAATTTCTGGCAAAAAGCCAGAACGATGAAGATTGAGACAGACTATACTTAGTAGATCCGAGTATAGCATTTTTTTGGTCCACAAATAGTGAAAACGACGAGTGAGCTCCATAAGTTAGTTTAATTTGTAGGTTTAGTAATTATTTATCTTATATTATTTTTATTATTATTATTTATCTTTATTTTTATTAGATGCATACCTACACTAATACATACGAAAAAAAACCAATGTAATTTGATATCTATTAATCAGATCTATTAAAAACGAAAGATTTCATAATAAATAACGTAATCTAATAGTTATAAAATAATAGAATAAATGTATAATCTTTATTGTCTAATGATAGGTATGTAAATGTTATTAAATATATTCCCCAACCGGTAGGAAATGTGAAAGTATCCATAAGTACACACAGGTATGTGTGGCGTGCTGCATATAAATAATAATATATTAATAATATAAAAGGATAAAAAAACTCGAGACAGTTGGCTGTTATAACTGAAGTTTGTCGATAAGAATAAACGCAAACATAGACGCTGTAGTCGCGCAGTACACATTCAGAAGGCAATGATACCGGACGAACGCAAGAAAGCAACACAGGGTCTAGATGCTAGAGCAATGTCCGAATGTAAAAAATGGCGACGCAAATGTTAGTCGGGTAACAAGCTCTAATGTCAGCTGCACCAAATGGTTGACTAAAATTGAACAACCAGCATCTATTAATCGGCTAAAAAGACTAACACAAAAGTGGTATCACAATTTGGAGACCTACAACCATTCTTTGCGAGAGTGGAAGAAGCTTTTAACAAATGCTTTTCCCCATCATCAAGATTTGCCGACTGCAATAAAAACCTTTCAACGAAGACGAAAAGGTGCCACAACTGTAATGATACAGGACGTCTCCAATTACCCCAAGCCAAGAGAAGAGTGTTAAATTTGAAAAAGACCAGGTGCTACAGGCTAGATCTACCCCAAATCCGAAAATTGATTTTGGTTCAATACCTAAGTTTAATCCAGCATATTAACTGACATAATTTTAGCAGGTACCAAATAATAGGCATATATACAAGCTCACGTCTCGTCCTTTCTTACCGTACATCTCTGCACAAATGGTGCTTGCGCCAGTAAAACACTAAAAAAAAAATAGAAAACATGTTTATAAATCAGTTTTAAGAATATTTATCGGTCACTCAACTATTGTACAATTTTTGCACCTTGCGCTTTACCTTAAATTGGGTTAGGTGCTCATCCTAATAAGTGATAATCGGTTTTGCTCAATTTCACAGGTTACATCGAGGTTTCCAATACAAATGGTTAATATGTTTAACATTAACTACGCTTAGAAGCAAATTTAAATTACTAGTTGCGTTAGCTAGTCGTACCTCTAATTCTCGCTTATCTCAGCTACAATGTCAACAAACGTTACTAAGGTTAGTCAATGCACTCTCGCGTAAAGTAGAGGAGAGCAATTTACTTTCGGTTAGATGCTTTTCCTCGACCAATGAAATCTTTTTCTATTTTTTTTGTAATTTCAAATAATAATAATAATAATAATAATAATAATAATAATAATAATACAATATAAATTAAATTAAAAGAACAAGCTCGTACCGTTTTTTTTTTTTTAATTTAGAACGCTAACGTGGATATAACCCCTTGAGTTTTGCACCCATATTTCAACGTTGATTCAGTTGATATCACGATTTGTGCATTTGAATATATTGGTAAGTCGAGGCACGCCACTAACAATCTGGTAAGCTCGTTATACCAGTTATTATCTTGAAATTTCACTTTTTGTTCCCTGTCATGTGGTCTCTTCTGGCGCGGCATGACGCAACTGGGTACTTAGGATGGTTCTGCTTCCATTTAGGCCTTTTATTTCGGACAACCAGCGACAGGCATTTTCTTTTGTCAATACCTCCAAGAAGGTGAAAGGTGAAGCTCGTGTCTCGACGACCTTTAAAACTGAGGAACATCTATTGCAGAACATTCTAGACGGTCTAACCGTGTTTAACTTATACTGCACAGATCTTAAAGATACTTACAAAAGCTAGTTAATACCTTTTATAAAACTTCTGGATTCCTCCTGGGTCGGTTTTTGCTGAGTCGAACTTGATGACGTTTCGCCAATCATCCTATTGGCTTCTTTAGAGCTTCAGTCAAGGTCTGAAACGTCATCAAGTTCTACTCAGCAAAAACGGACGCAGTTTTGTAAGTATTACAGTAGCCTGTGGAAGTATCTTTGAAAAATTAAAAGCTAGTGCAATCTATCTCATATATGTTTACTCGTAGCTGCACTTTATGCGCATTGACACCGCCACTGGACAAGGAATGTGAATCATGTACACCACCGTTTACGTCACCCTCACACTATTCTTTACTGGTTGTTCTTCAACTGACTTTATTGCTTTGGAACTTTTCTTCGTACACATTTGCCTCGCATGGCCAAATTTGCCACAGTTGTGGCATTTCTTTTCATTTTGAGGAGCTTTTGCACACATTTGCCAGGTCCAATTTTCTCTCGACAATACTTATTTTTCTTTTCCTTTCTCTTAAAATGTTGCTTGGTTTTGTTTACAAAAGCCACCTGAATAGAACTACTTGCAAAGGTTAGCTTATCATCGCATAAGAGCTGTTTTGTATATGTAATGACATATGCTACATACGAACCTGTCCCCTCAAAGCGTTCTCCAAAAACTGGCAAAAATTCTACGTGTCAGCTAATTTTTGTGGCTTTACGTTTTTTTTTTACTAAATGGACCCATGTTCGGCAGGCAGCTTTTATTTAAAATCCATAATAATTTCTCTTTTTGAACCCTTATCTGCAAAGTTTTGGTATTATCCTGTCAGTCCTAAAAGCAGCGAAAACCCAAGCAACTCTTATTAGTTTATTATGGAAAAATGCAAGCTAATCAAGTTTCTTTTTGATCCCAATCGCGAAGAAAATATGATTCATATCTGATTTAATCAGCATTATGACTCAGAGTAAACACTTGAAAATTGTTATCAGATCAAGTATTTTGGTTTAAAATTTCATGTACTGGGTGACATGAAAAATACTTATTAGTTTTTTTATGCCTAATAAATTCACTAGAGTTGTAACTCATCAAATATTAATATAATCAATGAAAGGTCGATATGTTGACATACCTAACACTTCTACATGTTGGTTTAATAACCACTGCACATGGATGCGATCAAATGAATTCGGCGTCAATAATTTTCACCGCTAATCTTTCAAGGACCTCGATTCATTTATAAAATGGACGACGGATCGATCAACTTTAACACAATGTTTCAAATTTTATTCCAACTAACTTTATTAGTGTCTGCGGTGAGTTGCAATTTTTCATTTACTACAAGCGAATCACAAAACTATAGCACTGCTTTATATTTTCGTTTTTCCAGTTAGCAGATATTATTGTCGATATTCCTGACGGCAAAATCCGTGGTCATGAAATCAACGCTTCAAACGTCAGCTTCTATGCTTTTGAGGGAATTCCATTTGCCTCTCCACCGGTGGGAAAGTTAAGATTTCAGGTAAACTATTTTTATACTTTCATCATTTGATATTACTGCCAGTATGGGTTTTTATTATTATTATTATTATTATTATTATTATTATTATACGAGTACATCTCAGCTCTTACTGGCCTGTTTTCACCTGAGGCTTTGCTTGCTGCGGGCTCTCTGAACTGGTGAGAAAACAGTTCAATTCTTCCCACTCAATTCAGAAACTTACGAACAATGTGGCATGTCTGTAGTATGACAGCCTTCTGTCCGAAGTTTTTCGAGACAATTCCCTCCGCCGAAATTACAAATGGGTAGATAAACACTTTATTGAGCTGCCAAATATTTTTCAGTTCCACAGCTAAATTTTCGTATTTTTGTAATTTTTCTGTTTCAGTTTTACTGATATTGTGGGAGAGTGGAACAGCGATATCAATTATGAGGGCATTTTTCTTTTCTTTGTTTATAAGAACGATATCGGGTTTATTGTAGTCCACTGTTCTATCCGTCGTAATAGGTCTATCCCAGTACAGTACAGCTCTGTCATGTTCGACTACAGCCGAGGGCTGATATTTATAATACGGTTGGTATGTTTCTAGAAGGCCATACATTAAGGCTAGTTGGAGGTGGATAATTTTTGCAAGTTGGTTATGATGGTTCAAATATGCGCTCTCTGTGAGAACAGGGCACCTGGCAATTATATGTTCGATTGATTTTCCAACTGATTCACATTTTCTGCAGTTGTCCTCCACGTTGAGTTTGAGGCAGTGTTTTTCATAATTGCGGGTTCTCATGACTCTGTCTTGAATAGCCATAATAAAGCCTCCAGTCTCGGGATATGGATATCCAGAGGCGACCTTATCAATGTGATTCTGCATCCAGACTTCTAGGGAATTTTCCATGTAGAGTTTGTTGTCTCCACAAAGTTTGGTTTTCCTGTTTCGTGTTTAGATCAAACGTGAAAAACCAAGGTATTTATAATCTTCGTGAGCTAACAGACATTGCATCACTTCTCCGTTCTCCACGTAATATCCTTGGATTTGGGATAAAGTATCTTTTTCATCTTACACTTCTCAATCCCAAATTCCATGGCTACCGATTTACTAAAGTTTGTTGTTAAGTCGAGAAGTTTCACAAGTTGTATATTGGATCTAGCAAAGAGTTTTAAGTTTTTCATGTACAATGGATGGTAATAAAGGTATTTTATATCGTTTTTACCAAGCGAGAAACCACATTCTGTCTCGTTCAGCATTTTACTTACGGATTTAAGCGGGCGCAGAACCACAATGCTCTAAGAGATTCTAACTTGAATATACCCCTTGATATTTTTAATTTTCTGGAAGTAAGCATTTACGAGCCATTAGAGATAAATAGAGTTGTTGACCATTGCTTCATGAGATATCTTAAGAGATCTATGATGTTTGGATGGACATTATAGATTTTTTCTATAATCAATAAACGCCATTCTTAAATTCCTTTTTTTCTTCACTGCCTGCCTAACTATTACTTCGGGAGTCTCTGAAAGACGTTTTTGTTGTTCCGTCATGATATTGTTGGTTTGCAGGTGCTAATATACCTTATCAGTGATAATCGAAGTAAGCAGGTTATTGGCCTAAATTTGAATGCATCTAAGGCATTGCGCTCTTTTGGCAACAAAAAAGTTTTCCTACTGGTCAGTGTTGGCGGTATCGCTTCGGAACCTCTAAAGATGTTATTATTATTATTATTATTATTATTATTAATATTATTATTATTATTATTTTCTGTTCGCAACCGTGTTCTCGAAAATAATTACAAATTATTTTTATATATATAGATCAATATCACTATCGCCTGTTCTAATTATTTTTTGTTCTATATTATTTGCAATATGTTCTGCTTTTTTTATATGTTTAACAGAATTTGCCCAACTTTGTGGAGGGATGTTAAAAACTTCGGTTTCTATAAGTTTGAGACTATCGGCAGATTTCAGTTGGTTCCATATATATTCAATGGGATTAAATATGCAATGGTAAGGTGGAAGCCTTAAAACTGTATGCCCAAGATTTTTTGCATAATTATCACAGACGTATTGCTTTTGTAGGTTCAAGCTCTGTAGAACCTCAATTAATTGCTTTTTGGTATAATCTGCGTAAAAATAAATGTGCTATTATACGTGTAGTTTTGGATTGTTGCTTTTGTGTCACATGTCTACTGTGATAACTTACATTGTCCATTACAATGACGCTATTAGGACGAATATTTGGAACTAGTTTGTTTTTAAACTAGCTTTCAAATAAATCAGCGGTGGTGTCTTCATGGTGATCCAGAGAAGAATCATTAATATTTTTCGCAGACAGAGAAAGTCTATTTTGAATCCAACCATCTCTAGAGCCAGCATGAGAAAATAGTTATTATTTTACCTCTTTTTGATTGTGCGTTTGTTTTACACATATCAGTTGAGTCAACCCAACCCTTTTCCGGGGTATCATAAATGTCGAACCAATTGTTATCCAAGTAAATAATTGGCCTTTGTTGTTCTCTGTAAATCCTATTTTTTTCTAGATATTCCAGCCGCCATTTTCGAATTCTAAAAAATTCGATTAAAACTTGCCTTTTGTCAATTTTTTAAAATCTAAAACCCATGCGTTGAATACACTTCCATAAGGTAGTTCTGCCACATTTAACACCGGTTTCATCTTTTTCAAGACTCCTAATTAAGATATCTAATGTTGGCACGCTTTGTTCCTCGTATAACTGGTAAATTTTATACGCCGTATTATACCTTGACCACTTTCATCTACATTCGAGAAAATGTCAGTCAATGTCAATGTCAATTTTCCATACAGTTAATGGAATTTTCGTCAATGTGGCCGTTTCTTCTAAAGATGCTGGCTTGCTATCACTACGTTCAATGGGAGTCAAATAAACATTGCTTATAACTTCCTTAGTCTCAATAGAATAGTATTTTCTACATTTGGGCGGGAGCATCTCCTGTGCTACAATAACTTAAACTAAGTAGTATACCAAACCGAAGTATATTAATCACAGGTAGGTATAAAATTATTTTCTATTACGGACCACAATTTTACCTGAATTTAAATTCCGAAATTTTAGGTAATAATCTTGTTGCATTGTATGTTAATGACCACCCTTGGATAATCCCATTCAAAAGCAATTGGTCACTTTTTTATATCTAGGAACAGACCATACCTCAGGCTAAATGGTTTATATCTCCCTATCCTAGGACAAGTCGGATAATGTGGACTCTCTTAAGGAGAGTACTTTTTTACAGTATCGCAATCGTGTTTTCGTTTTTACCCGATATTTTATTGAGTGTCTCCGCAAGGTTTTTGTGGATGGTTGCTTAGATAATGACGGGGATAATAGTTATTTTAAGCCCCCACATTCTCTGCACTTCATCTGTATTTTATAGTCTTTTCGGATTCCTTCTATTTTATTGTGGCGTCTGATGGTATGGAAACGTAGACCAATAGGCATGTCTTGATTTGGAAGTCCCTAATTATAATATCTGGTTTGTTTGGCATCACAGTCCTGTCTGTTTGTACTTGCGTGTCCCATATTATTGTGATTTCCCCTTTGGCTTCAACATCTTTTAGCTTGTGTTTGTACCAAGAGTCCTCTACCTCTATACCGTAGTGCTTACAGATATTGTAATGTAGTGTTAAGCATACTTCATTGTGACGTTCAAGATATTCTTTCCTAGCTAGGACTCGGCAGCCTGCGAGGGTGTGCTTAATTGTTTCATCATATTGTTTACAAAGTCAGCATCTTGGCTCTACTTTTCCTTTAAATATTTTTTCATTGATATAGTTGACTGAAATGGCCTGGTCTTGAGCAGCGACTATCAAAAATTCTGTTTCCTGTTGACAGCCATCTGAATGTCTGCCTCTTGTCCACACCATCCTTGTCGATTTTTCTCCCATACGGTCGATGCATTTCTTAGTTTTTTAATCTTTGTTCTGTTTCCTCGCTAATTTTCCTCCTGCGTCGTTGTCTGAGCCTTTTCGCTTTCTGGGCTGCCGCGGTTCCGTTCATTTCACTTATAGCTTTGTTTTTATATTGTTTTGTTAGTTTCTGGCCTTTATTCATCATTGGATATTTTTCCACGACGACTCCACTACTCTCACAGTGTGCATAAAAAAATAAGAGAGTTTACTGGAACTACTTGGAAGCAAAAATCATATACTATTACAAATGAAGAGGGAAACATTGTGTTGGATATTAAAGATCAACTGATTCTATGGCAAGACAACATTAAAACCCTCTTTAACGATTAAAGAGAGGAAATAACTGCCAACACTAATAATGAATCTGGGCCATCTCGTCTAAAGGAAGAAGTACAAGCAGCAATAAAATCAGCCAAAAATGGGAAAGCACCTGTCCCTGACAACCTACCTGCAGAAGCGCTCAAGTTGATTGAAGAACAACACTTAGATGCTGTAACTTCCCTGTTTAATAAGATCTATGAAACAGGAATAATACCAAAGGAAAGCCTAATGCCACAAAATGTGAGGAACACCATATGATCAGCCTTATGAGCCACACACTGAAGATCTTTCTCAAAGTCATCCACCGCAGGATTTGTAAGAAGCTGGAAGAGGATATAGCAGATACTCAGTTTGGTTTTAGAAATGGTTTCGGCAGAAGGAAGGCTTTGTTTGAATATAATGTCTTGATGCAACGGTGTCTTGATGTCAACCAAAACATATATGCCTGTTTTATTGATTATAATAAATCATTTGATAGAGTGAGACACAAGCAGCTAATAGAAGCAATAGAACGAAAAAACCTCGGCACAAGAGATATACAAATAATAGTAAAACTATATTTAAACCAAAGTGCGTCGATTCGCGTCCAATCTGAAAAGAAGAAAGCAGTGGAAATCAAGCGAGGAGTTAGACAAGGGTGTGTTCTTTCACCACTCCTCTTCAACGTCTACTTAGCGGAAATCTTCACCAAAGCCCTCGAAAATGATACCGCTGCGTTACCGGGATGATACAGTACTTCTCTCCGAAAACATGTAAGACCTGCAGAACATGTTAAATAATGTCGTCAAGACTAGTCGAGAATATGGTCTGACACTCAACGTTAAGAAGATCAAGTACATGATTGTCACCAAAACCAAAGTGCTCCATGAACATCTGTATGTTGAAAACCAAGAGCTGGACAGAGTCGAGAGATATGATTACCTGGGTATGAGTGTCGACTGCAACGTGGATTATTCTTCGGAAATAAAGATCCGCATTGAGAAAGCCCGTTCAGCCTTTGTGAAGATAAAGAAGCTGCTCTGTAGTCGCGATTTGAGCCTAGATCTGAGAACTCGAATGCTCAAGTGTTATGTATTCCCCGTCCTTTTGTATGGTGTGAAAGCTTGGACCCTCAACCTGTTTTGTGAGCGGAAACTGGAAGCCTTCGAGATGGAGTAGGATGCTGAGAATACCATGGACGGAACATGTGACCAACGTGGAGGTTCTGAGAAGAATGAAGAAAGGTGTAGAGATCCTACAGGAAGTGAAAGAAAGGAAATTGCAATATTTCGGCCACATCATGAGAGGACCAAAGTATGAAATTTTACAATTCATAATCCAGAGAAAAATTGTGGGAAGAAGATCTATTGGAAGAAGAAGAATATCCTGGCTTAGAAACCTGCGAAAATGGTTTAATGTTACATCATCTGACCCATTTAAAGCCGCAGCTTCCAAAATCAAAATAGTAATGATGATAGCCAACCTCCGAAGTGGAGACGGTACATGAAGAAGAAGAAGAGGATATTTTTCTTTTCTCTCCATTTTTTCCCGTAAAATCCTTGGCGTTCTTTACTTGCTCTAACCAATTATTAGTAATGAATTAGTATAAAGTTGATTCGAAAATTAAGCTCAAAACTTTATTTTATTTTATTTTATTTATACCGGCAAGCCATGATTAACCTATTAAAAACAATGTCCAAGAAAACAATTATTAACATACAAGGAACTCAATTATTCAAATGTGTTTTATATATTATAAACTACTATTTGTAATAATTTTCAACCTATTAGGATCAATTAATTATTTGTTTACTTCTCGCTATTCACAAAGACATAATTATAGTACTATTATAATTATTATTTAACTTAGCCTGCAGATTTTTGGTTTTGATTAGTTGTCAAAAATAACACATTTTTAAAACAATTACAAACATAGATAATATGGTTGCTATCAAGGCAGACGTGACCATTTTTAAGCAATTGTCCAGAAATTACTCAAAAATGACCACACGAAATGTCAATGTTTTTGAAATCAGGAAAAAAATATTTACTATTTAAAAAAATGATGCTGCTGTCATTTTGATAGTATGCGATAGTCGTTTGTTTATTCTGACATTTGCATAAGATGATAGAGCAAAAATCTGCAAACTTGTGTATTTACAATTTTTTTTTCTATCTTTGAAAATTAACCCTGCAGGTGGGTGTCAAAATATAATGAATAACCCTGCACATTATCTTATACTGGACAGCACGTATGGCATTTAGTGCCCCAAGGGTAACCTCGAACGTGGAATTAAATTAATTAAAATTAGTGCATTCGATTAAACGATTAAGAAAGTTAATTCACCATTTTCACCTCAAATGTTATACACAACTAAGAAGAGAATATCAATATATGATTCTAAGCACGTTTTGTTTTGATCGCCGTTTAGGCTCCTGTTCCACCTGAACCATGGGAAGACATTTTAGAAGCTAATCGATCTGGTAAATGTTGTATATCAGGATATCCTGATCCATCGGAAAGTGAGGATTGTTTATTCCTCAATGTCTATACGCCTCCTCGAAATGTAAGTGAATACATCTAGAAAAAATTACTGGAAATTTTCACTAAAATTTGACAGATCACAAAACAATTGCCAGTCCTAGTTTGGATTTATGGAGGTGCGCTTCTAGCGGGTTGTTCCTCTTTTGAAGAGTTCGCGCCTGGAGATCTCGCAAATGAAGACGTGATAGTAGTCACGTTTAACTACCGATTAGGAGTCTACGGTTTCTTATCTACTGGAGACGATGTCATTCTGGGCAACGCCGGCTTGAAAGACCAACTTTTCGCGTTTCAGTGGGTGAAAAAAAATATTGCTTTCTTCGGAGGCGATCCGGATAAAGTCACGTTGTTTGGGCAAAGCGCAGGTGGAATATCTATCGGAATCCATATCGCGAATAAAAAATCTCAGGGTTTGTATAGGGCGGCAATTTGTCAAAGTGGTTGTTCGTTAACGCCCTTATATCAGAATGATCCCAAAACTAATGCGTACGCCATAGCGAAATTAATAGATTCGACTATAACAGATGCCAACACCACTGTCCAAATAAGAGATTTCCTTCAAAATCAGTCGGTGGATGATTTAAGTCCTGTGGTAAACGTTAATTCTTTTTTTTTATAGACGAATCCAATCCTTTTGGTTTTTTTATAGATTGGCATTGTATTAGAGGTGGAAAACGACGATGCTTACGTGACGGATCTGAATTTTGCGCTAATAGAATCCGGAAATTTTGTTCGGGTACCCTTGATGATTGGTACTGTTGCGGAGGAATCTCTTGGGCAGTATTCGTGTAAGTCTTACAAGCGGTATTCGAATGTTCAATTGATGGTATTCCGTACTACTGAGGTGAATAGTCTCGCTGCTTTTTTACACCACCATATTATATTCATATTTTCAAGATATGTGGAAGTATACCCTTTGTTCAAAATCACGGTCTACAAATCCCTCTATTGGTCTGTCCCACGTACGTCACGCTGCACGATCCCCATGCTACCCTTGGCTTTCCAGTGCAATTTTTTGTTGTGGGTTTCTTAGTATTGCTGCAATGGTATGATCAGGTTTATATGCAATGTCGTGTTTCTGTAATATTAGGCCGATTTTGTCAGTAACCCCTGCTGCGGCTGCTGTTGTTTGCTGATTACCTTAGTGATGATGCGCCTTTGGTATCCGTTTTGTCGAAGAAATGTAATAATTTTTTTCAGTTCGTCATCTCTGTTCTTCTCGTTTGTGAGCCTGAAGAACCGAGCAATTAATGTATTTGCCACTGCCTGTATCTATGATGGGTGGTGATGAGATTTAGCGTTCAGATATCTATTGGTACGTGTTGGTTTTCTATAGACAGTGTGTTCCAAGTATCCATATTCGATCCTTGTGATGTGCACTTTCAAAAAGGGCAGACTATTTATCCTCTTTAAGTTGTATTGGAAATTGAATCCTTGGGTGAATGGAATTCAGATGTACTAGGAATTTCAAAAGCTCCTCCTTGCCAAAAGGCCATACAACAAATACGTCATGACCGTATCTTGTCCATAGTTTTGACTTTAGATTTGCCTTCTCTATTGCTTTCCTTTCGAAGTAAATCATGAAACGGTTGGCAATCACAAGTGAGAGAGATGATCCCATTGTGTTCGAAATGTTTTCGGAGCGCGAGCCTTGAAGATGCCAAGTGAGATTTTGGCGAAACGTCTGCAGGATTCCAGTCGGATGCAAGATTTGCAGGATTCCAGTCGGATGCAGGATTCCAGTCGGAGTTCAACGAGCGAACGGATGATATCCCGGAATATAGTGTCATCACATTTTTCCATCCGTGAATCAATACTTGAGAATATGTATATATATATATATATATATATATATATATATATATATATATATATATATATATATATATATATATATATATATATATATATATGTGTGTGTGTGTGTGTGTGTGTGTATATATATATATATATATATATATATATATATATATATATATATGATGACACTATATTCCGGGATATCATCCGTTCGCTCGTTGAACTCCGACTGGAATCCTGCATCCGACTGGAATCCTGCAGACGTTTCGCCAAAATCTCACTTGGCATCTTCAATGCTCGCGCTCCGAAAACACTTCGAACACTGAGTGTTCGAAGTGTTTTCGGAGCGCGAGCATTGAAGATGCCAAGTGAGATTTTGGCGAAACGTCTGCAGGATTCCAGTCGGATGCAAGATTTGCAGGATTCCAGTCGGATGCAGGATTCCAGTCGGAGTTCAACGAGCGAACGGATGATATCCCGGAATATAGTGTCATCACATTTTTCCATCCGTGAATCAATACGTGAGAATATATATATATATATATATATATATATATATATATATATATATATATATATATATATATATATATATATATATATATATATATATATATAATTGTATTTTATATTTAAACAAATTCTAGTGCCTGTAGAAATGATAATAAGTGCAATTAGCTACGATTCCGACGTAAAAAACTTAATACCTGGAAGTTTGACACCGTTGCCAGGAACAAATTTGACCGAGGTTGGAAATATAATCAAGGAAGCGTACATTGAGGCGAACGGATCCTTTATCCTAGATCTCGCAGCAACTGCGGAGGTAAATATTGAAATAGCGCGAAAAGAAACTGTGACAAAGTCAGTATTTAGTTGTCCAGCACCTTCTTTGTGAGACCTACGTTCAAACAGGCAGAACTTCAGTCCAATTACACTCCAGTGTATTTATATCAGTTTTCGTTTTATGGGACCGCCAGTGAAAACCGAACGATAATTGAAGGTGCGTACCAACAAGCTAACCAAATTATAATTTCATGTTAGAGAATAAAAGTAGCAAACGATTATTCAGATAAGCTCAAACTGATTATTATAATTTTCATGGAAGCAAGTTGCATCCAGGAATTAGAGCAGAGCAGATTTAAACAGTTATTTATTGGTTTATCTCAACTGTTTCGGCAACACCCTGCCTTCATCAAATACAAAATATGACATAATACAGAGTGTTAAATAAAAGATATTTTTTTAGTATCTATAATACCACCTTAGATATTTTATTGAAATTTGGCACTACATATCAAGAGACATTATTTAGTGCAAAACATTTTTTTTAATAATATAACAGTGGCGGTCATACGGAATACGGAATGGTAGGCCACTGATTTCTCTTAAAAGAAAAATTATTCTAAAAATCTCCAATTTTATTTCTTTAATCCGATGTACGATAAAAAAATAAAAATAAATGGGCATGACAGCATGCAGAGAAATTCGTTTTTACTTTAAACAAAACCGCCTCATAAATGAATGCAAACAACATATTTTTTAAGGAAATCAATGGTGTACCACTTATAGATATTTAGTTTTTAATTACTAACTACTGACTTTTAGAAAAAAATATTAGAAAGTATAGTCTTTATTAAATTTTAAAATTTTTTCTACTCCCGTTTTTAAAATACCTAATTACACACCGATCTAGCGTGCGAGAAGCGTCACTTTACCACGTCCGAGCCACTTCAGACATTTCCGGGATTTTACCGCACGGGTTTGGGAGCAATCTGATGTTTTCGGAGATATTTCCCACGTTTTCAATTTTGACGTTTCTCAATTCTGACAGACATGCCAGTAAATGTATTCGTGTTTTGAGCAAATGTACCCAAAAAGTAACGGTCGTAGAATAAATATAATATGCAAGACGTTCGGTAAACTTTTTAACTCACTCGTTTATTACAAACCCGTTCCGCTTGTGTCAAATAAACTCGTGAGTCAAATGCCGTCTACGGCACTTGTTGCATAATATACTATTATCTTTTCAGAATCATGCAACACGAGTGGAGCGAGTTTTTAATAAACGAGTTAGTTAAAAAGTTTACCGAACGTGTTGCATACTATACTTTTTCTACGACCTTTAGTTTTTGGGTACATTTTCGCAAAACAATAAGAACACATTCACCGTCAGAATTGACAAACGTCAAAATTCAATCCGTCGGGTAAAATTTCCGAAAACATTCGATTGCTCTCCATACCCGTGCGGTAAAATCCAGCAAATGTCCGAAGTGGCTCAGATTCATGGGAAACGAAACTGACCTGGTAAAATGACGCTTCCCCCACGCTGGATCTGTGGGTAATTAGGTATTTTACAGACTCGAGTAGAAAAATTCTTTGACTTCTTCTTTATTTCAACATGTTTGAACGTTTGGCAAACAAAAATAAGGCATCTTCCACCCAACCATTTTTGGACCCAGCATGAAGAATTATCATTCTTCGAGATTCCATTATCACTTGACGTTTATTAATTCTTCGGAACTGAACATTCATTTTTTTCAAAAAAGTAAGCAACTACTCTTTGAGACAACTAACGCACCAAGAAGAATGTTGTTAATCGAACGTCCAACAAGATTATTTTCAAACTTACCAGTAAGATAAATAGAGTACTTAGCCTTACCCTTTGAACTATCTAGTGAGATTGGCTCCGCATGGTCAAAGCTCAAGAATCAAGTACATAAATGCGTACTTACCGGAAGGACCACACTCAAATACCTCCTTAAAATTCGAAAATAACCCGCGGCACACGGTTTATCTACGTTTTAAAAAAATCAAGTTTCTACAAATATTCGTTACGGTCCATCTCAGGCAAAACCTACTTAATGAGACTGTAACATACTTAAAACGTCAAAGCAAATATTCTTCTTGTATTTTTTTTTATAAAATCTCAACAACAAGATAAATAATATACGATTCCCTAATTTTCTTCATTTTCCGTTTTCATTTGGAGACATATTTGTCTTTGGCTTTCCTTGCCACGGTCTTATTTTTTACTATCCGGAGTTTGCTTTCCGTAGGCGCACCTGTCGTTCCACGCGCACAAAGTATAATAAACGTGCGTGGTATAATTATTTTTATACACTCTTTTATGTTGGTAAATTCGCTTCTTCAATGTTCTTGCATGTTTGTACGATATACTTTTTGAGGAATGATGTCTAGCCGAGAGAAACACCAGAGGCAGTAGGTTTGTCCAATTTTTCCAAGAAGATAAACTAGTAGTTAGCCAAATGCCGCTTGTAAGAACGTGTAAGATCGAGACGGCAATATTGTAAGAAACCGAATCGTCTTTTAGTTATTTATTATGATAAATGGATTTTCATCGAGTAAAAACACGCATTAACGCGTTTTACCATAAACCGAAACTCGCGCGTTTCGCCAACCAATTTGGCATCTTCAGGAGAAGATTAAAATTAAAATTGTGTATTAGTACAGTGCAGAAGGTTCCAGTCAAGAGTTTGATAACGATGGCTTCACGGTCAACGGAACTTAACTTATACCACAAGATTAGCGCTAAGATTAGGCTAATAGGAGCAGATATATGGTTTCTAAAATCCTGTAAAAAACATTCAGTTTTCCCAATGTTTGTAAACATTTCCGTAACAATTCATCTCATGTTGCCAAAAGAGTTGAAAAACTTGCAAAAGAAAAATGGTTGGATTTGGAAATCAAATACCTGTACAGTATGCTCGAATTGGAAGCATATGGCCTCTACAAAAAGTTAACACATATGTTAAGTAATTTAGAATTCGAATTGTGTGACTTCCAGAGAAAAATGTTTGTAGTCATTGAAAACAAATATGTTAAGAAGTTTTCGTCATTGAACAAAAAACTCAAAAATCCTGGTGTTAAAAAATCGAAAACGAAATCTCCGGAAACTATTACCATTGTTGAAAACTGTTCTTCTCAATGCTTTAACAATGGTGAATTGAATTTACCCAACAAAGGTTTGAATTTTGTCCCGCCGACTTCGAGGAGTATTCTGGAAGAGTCTGGAAGGATTTGTCCGAGAGGCGGTTAGGAGTCAAATTTCAAAAAATATTAGCAATCGAAATATAGATAATAATAAAACCAAAAAACAAAAACATTGTTATGGGATTAAAAGAGAAGAATTGTTTTTATTTAAAAGCAGATAAGGGTAATAAAGTTGTCATCTTAGACAAAGAAGACTATTTTCAACGAATTGATAAACTCCTTGAAGAGGATCCTTATAAGAAACTAAATAGAAATCCATTATCGAGAATGGTACAGCAGGTAAAAAGCACATTAAATAGTTGTAATAACCTTATTACCCCAAAATCTGAAATACAAATTGCAGACATCTAGTCCTACCTTGTCCAAATTATATTGTTTACCTAAAATTCATAAACCTGGAAGAACAATGAGACCTACTGTCTCACCTATAGGTTCTCCAACATATAATATTTCAAAGTGGTTGGTTCAGTTTTAATCTTCTCCTGAAGATGCCAACTTGGTTGGCGAAACGCGCGTCGGGTACGTAAAATTGAGTTTCGGTTTGTGGCAAAACGCGTTATTGTGTGTTAGTACAGTGCCGAAGGGTCCAGTAAAGAGTTTGATAAAGTAAAAAGCACCTCAGTTCAAAGAACGTTCTATGTAACCCACTCGGAGTAAAACTGACAACGCTGAAGTGCTATTGTATGTCCTTTGCTCTTATATGGATGTGAAGATGTAGAGGTACTAGGTAGAATGGATACTCTGACCCAGATAACAAACACAAAAGAAATAAGAAAAACAATCTCTCTCGGTCATATAATGCGACACATAAAATATGAACAACTACAAGTAATACCGAAGATTGAAGGAAGACGGGGAATAGGAAGAAAAAAGAAATCGTTGTTGAGAAACATACGGGACTGGACAGACGCAGATGGTAACACCATAATTCATCCATGGTTGCAACGGATTATTTTTATTTATTTTATGAAGTTTTAATTACTCTTAAGGTTGTTGCAGTAATTATTTGGAAGTATCGACTTTTTCTGTTTAGGGGCTGGAAGAACAGGCCATAGCGACGAATTGCCTTATCTTTTTAACATAACTGCGATACCTTTGGTGACGGATGCAGATTTCCTAACGAGGAGACGAATAATTAGACTTTGGTCAAATTTTGCGAAGACATTGTAAGTACGTAGTCTGGTAGCTCGCGAGTTTTACTAAACAATACGTTGTTCCAGGAACCCCACGCCTGATGAATCGGATCCACTTTTAAATGTAACTTGGCCTTTAGTTTCACCAAGTAATATACAGTACCTCGACATAGATAATACTCTCGAGGTAAAACCCAACCTAAGGGCTAAACAGATGGCTATGTGGAATCGCGTGTATTATACCTACGGCCAACAACCTTTTGTAGGATTTTAATACACAGAGTTAAATTTAATAAAAATAAAAATAAAAAAGTCGAAAACTAAAAACCGCAACATGATTTTTCAAAGCGTTTCTGAGCCACAGAGTGATTCTTAAAAATGTACGTTTCTATAACTGGTGAGAAAAATTATAATAACAAACTCCTAAAAGCAGCCCTTCTATTTTTTTCTAACTAAAATATAGAGTCAATTTGAACTGCGTTAGATTAGATTAGATTAGATTAACAGTTGGGAGAGCTAGCTATCAGCCAGTCCGTCACTGCGGCCCAGAGGATCGATTGTGACCCTCTCTATAGCTATAGAGCTTTATCCAGGTTCGCCTCTCTAACCCGACTCCAATAATAATGGCTCCCTCGTATAGTTCTGTGCCTCTGGTCTGGTATCGCCCAGCAGATGGAAACGCACTCTCGCTAGGCCTTCGCAGTGGCACAGTACGTGTGCGGCTGTTTCCTCCTCTTCCTGACAGAATCTACATTATGTGATTTCTTCCACTTCTATCAGGCTTAGATGCCTCTTAAGCCTGCAGTGACCCGTCAGCAGACGTACCATAATTCTTACGGCTTTCCTATTGTAGCTTAGTAGGTCCGCTATATAATTGGCCGATGGGCCCCTTAGGAATTCCTTGGCCTGTCTTTGCCCCTGCATATCCCTCCACCATCGTCGTCGGGATTCCCGGTCCATCCAATCTCTGATGGCTGCTTTTGCAACGGGTTTGGCCACCCCACAAAAGGGTTCTGGTCCAATCAGGCGCATTGACGACCGGGCTGCGTCGTCTGCGCCTTCATTACCTTTATGCCCTCCGTGCCCCGGTATCCACGATAGAGTAACTTTGTTCTGGCTTGCTATCTCGTTTAATGCCTTATGGCAGTCCAGAACTAACTTGGATGTTATTTTATTAGATTGCAGGGCCTTTATAGCCGCTTGACTATCGGTGTAAATTGCAATTGATTTGTTACGGATCTTCCTCGCTTTTATTTCTCTTGCACAGTATTCTAGTGCAGTGATCTCTGCTTGGAATACTGTTGCTAGCTTACCCATTTGAATAGATATTTTCGTTTTCGTCCTGGGTTCATATATTCCGGCTCCCTACTCCTTCTTGAGTTTTTGATCTATCAGCATACCAGGTTATTTCTGCCTTGATTGGTGGCCCGTTTTCCCAGTATTCTCTGAGTCCTGTAGTGGTTAACGAAGCAATACTTAGGTGTTGAGCTGTCCGTAGGCAGCTCTAGGACATTGTCCGCTCTTACCTCCAAGTAAAGCTTATGTTTAGTGCTATGTCCACCAATTATTGAGGACTGTCCTTGCAGTAATCCATATACTACGGATCTTGCTTCCCCTTGTATATAGATCTGTATTGGTGGGATGTTCTCCGCTAGTCTTTGCACGCTACTTAGCCGCCTTATCGCCTCCCCCTGCATGGTTCTTGTCCACTAGACAATCACCCCATATGCTAGCATTGGTCTCACTACTGCTAGATACAACCAAAGTGTCATTTTTGGGTTTAAGCCCCAGTTCTTTCCACACATCCTTCTGCATCTACCTAGTGCAGTTGTTGTCCTAAGCCTGATCTTTTGAATGTGCGCTCTCCAGATAAGTTTTTGGTCAAATATGACTCCTAAATATTTTACCTCCCTGGAGAAGTGTTGCCTTGTTCCATCTACCACCGGCAGTTTCAGTCCTGTGAGGATTCTCCTATTGGTAAATGGAACGACTGTCGTTTTCTTCTGGTTAACTGTTAGCCGCTCGTTTTGGCACCAGTTTCCCACGATTTTAATAGCCTCCTGACTTCTTTCTGACAGGGTATTGGTAAATTTTCCTCGTACCACAATCACTACGTCGTCTGCATATCCTAGGCAGTAGAAGCCTTTTGTAGAGAGTTTTTGCAGTAGGTCATCCACCAATAAGGCCCACAGCAGAGGAGAGAGCACTCCCTCTTGTGGGTATCAGCTCCCCACTGCTGCCTTTATGGTGGTTATATCATACATATATCAAAATAGTCTTTGCGTGCTTATTGAAGAGTGACAATAACGCGAAAGCGACCAAATTGTATTGTCACAAAATGTATTATAGATTAATAGTACTGATCTTCAATTTGGTCAGCTTCGTGAAACTTAGTTTTAGCTAACTTCAGTTGTTAATCTATCAGATTATTTTGTTTTATAGTTTGGTAAATATTAAGTTTTGGTTATTTCAAGATTCAGGTGTGGATTAACATAACCGCGGAAATATTTGAGCACTGGTTTGAAAATAAGCCAAAACTATCGCCAAATACTGTTATTGTGTTTAATAATGCCTGGTATAAATTCCAAATACTTCCTTAAATAAAGAGAAATTAAAAATTAAAGAGAGGTGCACGAAAAAACAATTTTTGGAACTATTAAAACTAAAAAAGAATACAAAATCTATTCGACAGCACAAAAAAACTATATGAAATCTTGAGATTACCCCCATATATTTATGTATTTTATGATTTTATGATTGAGATGATGTGGTCTGAGTTAAAAGGGTACACAAGAAGAAATAACAGTGCACCAAAATTTAGTGAAGGGTTAGCTAAAATATCAGTACAAAACTGGTCTAACAGTGAAAAACGACTAATAAAAGAAGAAAACCTTTATCGAGAACGCTTAGTGGCGGAGTTGATCATGAACTAGGTGACGACAATAGCGATAGTGACAATTTTTTAAGTGACTGATACTTTATTATTATTATATTTCATATTTTGTATATTAATTATGACACTATATAGAAATGCAATGAAATAGAACGCAATAAATTGTTACTTTGTACTAATTTTTTTTTATATACGTGTTTATGTACGGCGAAAAAGCTTGAAAACATACTTATACCCCGCTTGTTACTGTAGGTAAAGTCTGTTCATAGATATAACAGAGTGACTAACTGATACGAATTAAGGAAAAACCCGGTCAAGCTGTAAGAATGAAATATGGACTAACAGGTCCGTAATTTGCTTAGAATTTAATTATTTGATGTTTTGTTAGGAAAGATACTAAACAATATTTATTTATACATGTATTTATGTTTAAATCTAAAATAAAATTACAAATTATTTTTATTACCTACTTAAATTACTTAAAATTATTCATATAATGTTCTAATTATTATTTGTTCTATATTATTTGCAATATGGATATACGATTGTTCTGCTTTTTCTATATTTTTAACAGTATTTGCCCAACTTTGGGGAGGGATGTTAAAAACTTCGGTTTCTATAAGTTTGAGGACATTGGAGTTACCACGAATGGCAGATTTCAGTTGATGCCAAACATGTTCAATGCGATTAAATATACAGTGGTAAGGTGGAAGCTTTAAAACTGTATACCCTAGATTTTTTCCATAATTATAACAGACGTATTCCTTTTATAGGTTCAAGCTTTGTAGAATCTCAATTAATTGCTTTTTGGTATAGTCTTCGCAAAAATAAATGTCGTTATTATACATGTAGTTTTGGATTGTTGCTTTTGTGTCACATGAGGAAGGGATTTTACCCAACTGTCTACTGTGATATGACGCTATTAGCAGGAATGTTTGTTTTACACTTATCAGTTGAGTCAACCCAACCCTTCTCCGGGGTATCATAGGTGTCGAACCAGGTTTCATCCAAGTAAATAATTGGCCTTTGTTGTTCTCTGTAAATCCTATTTTTTTCTAAATATTCCGGTCGCCATGTCCGAATTGTAAAAGATTCCATTAAAATTTGCCTTTTGTCAATTTTTTTAAATCTAAAACCCATGTGTTGAATACACTTCCATAAAGTGACACATTTAACGCCGGTTTCATCTTTTTCAAGCCTCCTAATAAAGATATTTAATGTAGGCACGCTTTGTTCCCCGTATAACTGGTAAATTTTACGCCGTATTATATCTTGATCACTTTCATCTACACTCGGGAAAATGTTAGCATCGCTTCTTTTTTCTTCGCTGAAATGGGATTGTTCACAATTTTCCATACAGTTCATGTTGGAATTTTCGTCTACGTGGCCGTTTCTTCCAAAGATGCTTGCTTGCTGGCGCCACCTCTAACGAGAGTCAAATAAACATTAGAATAGTGTTTTCTACATTTGGGCGGGAGCGTCTCCTGAAATACACTAGACTCGCACATATTTTGCCTAATTCGCACACGATTCAACACACGCTGTATTACACACGAAATAAGAAAGATTACTAATAATTTAAACTAAGTAGTATATCAAATTTAAATTCCGAAACTTTAGGTAATAATCTTGTCGCATTGTATGTTAATAACCACCCTTGGATAATCCTATTCAAAAGCAATTTTTAGCACTTGGGAATGGGTACGGGTAAGGGTCTGCTCGGCAGGGTCTTCTATGGAGTAATAAACCATAGGCAAAGTTAGCCACGGGGTCGGTGGTAAAAGCACTATATTTCTGGTCGAAGTATAACAAATTTGGATGTCATATGCATACATATGATAATTACGGTGATTCATACATCGAGAAATTCTAATACTTTAAGTAAGTAGCCTCTAAACGCCGTTACCAAGCAACTAAAACGTCAATGATAATAAAAATTGGTGATTTTTCAAGTGAAAATCAAAACAGTCGCACTATCGTCGGCGTCATAATCTTCAGCATAATACTTCCACTTTTGTTTTTTTGCTCGAACCATTTTGCCCTACTTTAATTAATTTGATTAAAATAATTAATTTAATTAATATTTGTAGTTCTACCAGAAATTTTGTCTACAATCGATGTCGTCGTGTCAAATTGAAACCGCAAATGTATCAACAAAATGTTTATTTTCTGAACTGTTTCTTTTTTCTTTTTTGAAGTTATAGCTGTCTACTTGCCGTAACATTTTTGTACCAATAGGCAGCCTTTTTCCACGTTCGCGTCCTGTTTGGACTGCCAAAGTCCACCTGAATTAAGCCGAACTTCCTCCTAAAAATAACGCAATTTAGCACAACAACCTGTAGAAATTTAAACTTGTAACCCTCGTATCTCCGTTGTCCGTTATTTAACGTACTTGGATGATTTTTTCCGTTGAATCCAGTGGCGTAGTTTTGGTTTGTATTTCCACTTAGGGTTTATTAGTTATAAAGCAAACATATATTTTTTTAAATGGAACACCCAGTATATTAGTTTTGGATTAATTGGATATGATTTAAGTTTTTCAAAAATATGTATTATTTTACTTTACTAAACCCACTAAAAATAAGATACATCCAAGAAGTTGCTACTATACAAGAGACTCTTTACTTAATAATGGGATATAGTCAATATAATTTTTATTTTATAGAAATGTGTTTGGTTTATGTTAGAAAACATATTCACCTTTGCATCAATCAAACCTTCCAAAATATTTGAATGACCAATTAGTATAAGCAGCAAAATCGACTGCCCAAAGAATTAAAGAAATACAAATACCATCCAAGTTTAAAAGTGTTCAACATGGCAGTTGGAATTTGCAACAAATACGAATCAACGCTCCTTTTGCGGAGGCTTATAGGCTTAGTATGGTAAGACGAACGTTACCTTTCAAGTTCCGGAATGTTTAATCGCAATAAAAGGGGAAACTGGTCGACAGAAAACCACCATTTAATTTTTGAAAGGGCCCATCAAGGACGCTTTGGGGTTGAGGTATCGCGTTTAATTTTGGGACAACGAATAGCCTACCGAATTTATGAAGGTCATTTTACAGCACATAGATACCTAGGACGTTGAGAATATTCCCTTGGTATATTATCGGCAAGATGGTGCCCCAAATTTAACTCTGGAACTTTAAGATCATTTTTAGATGACACCTCCCCTTAAAAATCTAGAGTTATCAACGGAACTGTAAAATGGCCTGCAGGATCTCCGGATCTTTCAGTTTTAGATTTATTTTTATGGGGATATATACAAAATAAAGTATATATTATGCGCTTGTGAATCGGTCATCCCAAACAGAGCTTATGCCGCTCATTTAGCTCCGCCCCCCTCAAACAATACATACAAGATTCTTTGATTATAAAGTCAGAGACCCTTACTATGTTATATAATTAAAATTAAATCCTGTAATATACAGGGTGTCTCATTTAAGAAAATTGAGAAAAGTATCATTTTGCGAAATGTGGCCACACCGCGTATTTTAAGAAAATATTTTAAATTCGATAATTGCGTAAAGAAAAGCATTATTTTTGTAAAAATAATACATGGAAAAAAGTTTAAAAAGTTAATAGCAACCCAACAATGATGGTTTAAATATAACCCGAATTTTGCAGATGATCGCTAAATTTCGAAACGGTGCATCATATATATACATAGTTGAATTGGTCTTATCTTCCTAATTAAAAAAAAACGTAACTTTGTTTTACCACCCTGTATATAAAAAAGTGTCTATTAGAAAAAAATAAAGGCCATTTAAATAGAAACAACTTTGTATTTAATTTTTTTTGTAGCCCCCCTAGGTTTCGAGAGGTACAGACCCCTATGTACATGCCCTGCTTTGACAACATCGCACTCAGAAAGTGCAGAATTTACATCTTATACTAATATATGGAGTGAGTCGCAGAGTCCACATAAAACTTTACCTAAAAAAATCTGACTGGCTTAGTATGTTTGACAGATGTACCCTCCGCATCGCAACCTTTTTCTACCTGTATAACAAAGTTTGTTTTAGAATTGAATAACAAAATTTAACTTTACATTGCAAGGGGTTCTTGACTGTTCCTCAACATCGTAAAGAGAGTTTTAAAAAAATAGTTTTCATAGAATATAAGTTTTATTTTAAATAAGTTCAATATACTCGACTTTTCACATCTAGGAGAGGATACCGAATGGGAGAAAAAGAAATAAAAATAATATGCTACGCTGATGACGCAGTAATCATCTCGGCAAACGAAGATAACCTACAGAAGTTCCTATATAAATTCCAGAAATAAAAACAAAATCTCCTACAATATCTAAAGAACCGAGGAGATGCAAACTATCGATTTACGAACAGAGTGTAGAACATGTGATGCCCTTCAAATATCTAGGGACAAACATAACAAGATTGCTTTCGAAAAATCGTCGCTGGGCAGCGCAAGTTTGCAGCGCGTAGCGCGAAACAGCTTTTATTTTAAAAAGAAGGCGCTTCCCAGACCACTATGGAACTCTCGCAAAATCGATGTAATTTTATTGTGCATACACCCTGTATAAAGCGTTTTTTGCTAATCGCTGAAGTTCAAAGTCACAACAGACTTTGATAAATATAAAACATTGTACAAGTAATAACGATTTCCAATTATATTATTCCAAGTATCTCGCGCACCCTGTATGATAGACGTAACTTGAAACTCTCTCTCGGCACAATATTCCAGCACTGTTTAAACAAAATTATCTCATGTTTTATAGTTTTTCAATTACGTTTAATAATTTATCCACGAAAATGACAATTTTCAGGGTTTTTTTACCATATTCGCATATTTGCGAGTTTTGCGATCGAGAAAATGGTTTCCAATTTAAACACCAGTTTGGTTATAATTAGTGGAGCGCCGTAAGGCTTATACCTCGGAATCCAGGGTCAGTCAATAAATCTTTTTATAAACTTTGGCAATGTGTTTTTAATAACATATAGAAAAATGTTAAAAAAAATATTTTGTGCAATCTTAATTTTCTAATAATTATTATAGATAATTATTAATTTTTTTGAGTTTTCCTTAAGTTATATTAGTGTAAAATTAGATTTTAAAAAGAGGAACTATTACAAACTTCATCTTGGGTCTCAAGGGACTGCAGGTACAATGATCAGGGTGGGGAGGGGAATAGAGGGGGCAACAGCAGCTGTTGTTAGCTAACAGAAAGCTAAGAGATATTATAAAAGTCACAAGAGGAATACCAACACTGAAAACTGCTTCTGTGGAAAGAGGGGATGGACTTTCTCAGTATTTAAATACTTGCGAATTTGTCTACGTGCATTCAGTATGCAGACAAAAATATATCAATAAAGGATGTATTAATGCTTATTTAAAAAAAAAGAACACATCAACATGCTCTCCACCTAAAAAAAAAACTGCGAACGGCTACTTCTATTGACTTTGATTGGAAAAATAAGTGCTTTTTATGCGAAAAAGAAGCGAATGAAATGAAGGAAAGAAGAAAGTCCAAATCGGTAAGACAGCAAATCAGCTACGTAACTACTTCTGAGTTCAAGCAAACTATTTTAAATTTGATAAGCGAAGAGAAAAGCGAGTATTGTCGCAATATCCATAAAAGAATTGTAGGTGTGTTAGACCTAGTAGCTCAGGACGCTAAGTATCACGCGGATTGTTATATGCGTTTGAAAACTACCGTAAAACAGACCCAGAGGGATAAAAAAATGATGACTGCCAGTTTTCACTGGCAGAATTAAAAAGTATTGTGAGAATTGATCATATTCCTGATGATAAAATGATAAAAATGAGGTTAATGAACCATTATGAGGATAATATTGTATTCTCCAGTAAATTTGGATCTAATACAATCATTTGTTTTAAGAAACGACAAAATGAAATACGTCAGCTTTTTTTCAACGTGGCAAAAAGGTGTTTGAAAAAAATTTCGAAAAACGAACGGACTTGCAAAATGCTGCGACAGTTTTTAAAAATGAATGCAAAGACATCGATAAAATTTTTAAAGCTGGTGTTCATGCACTCTTGCTTTATACAACGCCCCCCAAAAAATAAAAGATCTTAATGCATTGAGATATAACTCTTTTTTGAAAGCAACTGCCAAAAATACCTCCGTTAAACTGCCGTCTTTACCACCCACTGCAGATGCCGCTTTCGAACACTTCAAAAGGGTATATTTACAAGTTCAAACATGGTTCGGAAAAGAAATTTTATCAGAAGAATGGGGTTGGAAAAACGAACGCGGAATATTGTTACCGCAAACAATGACGCAGCGACCAGCTCCAGAATCTTTACTAAAATTTATTTTTTGCGCATGCAAAACAGGATATGGAGCATCTTGTGGGTGCAGGAAAAGTGGATTGAACTGCACTGCAGCTTGCTTAGAATGCAATGGTGATAGCTGTACTAATCCTTTACCTACAATCTACATCAACGAAATCGACGACGACGACGTCAATAATGAACAATAATCGATATAGTTAAGGTTAAATTTTCTTTTGTAAATCATTTTTTTGCGAAAATCTAATAAATTAACATTGAATTTACTCTGCAAACATAATTTATTACATATTAAGATCTCTACTGTAAACATTTTTCCCCCTTGCGCCTTTCGTTTTTCAGTAAATTGTTTATAAAAATTGTTGTACTCGAGATCGGCCAATTTTTTTTTAAACATTTTTATTTGAGGTTTTAATAATGCAGTCAAACACTTGTTATACAGATTCATTGACTGGCCTTGGGTTCCGAGATTTTACCATTTTTATGCCTTACGGCGCTCCACTTAATATAATTTTAATAATCACCAGATATAACGTTATTTCGTATTAATAATTGTTATAATGGACTACAATAAGTTGAAAGTTATTACAAATCGTAGTTATTAATACGTAAAACAAATTTAAATAATTGAATTTTAGAGTATTGAATTTCTTGTATGATAATAATTGTCTACTTGGATATTGTTATTAAGAGATTAATCGTGGCCTACTGTTGAAAATAAAATAAAATACGAGAAAAAAATTGGCCTTAATTTTCAAAACAGCGTTTTACTAATATGTAGTTCTGAAAAGCTCATTGATTTCCAACTAATGTAAAAAAAAAACGAATAAAACGTTAGAGCAAGTAAAAAGCAAAAGCCACTGGATTCTACGTAAAAAAAACTATAAAAACGATTTTTAAACTCTTCAATAACTTAAAAGATAACGGACAAGAGGGGTATGATAATTGAATGATAATAAAACTCAAGACGTGAGAAATATCTCCGAGAACATCCGATTGCTCCCGAACCCGTGCGATAATATTCCGGAAATATTCGAATTGGGTATTTTACAGGAGAGAGACGTACGCTGTAGATCAACACAAACTTACGAATAAGTTCCCCACTCGAAATTGTCCATTAAACTCCAAGCGCTGTACCCTATGACGTTTACATAGTCTTCGTAGATGGCGTCCAATATGCTCGACAGGTAACCCTAAAATTCAATGTTTTTTGAGGAGGTGGGACGCCACCTATATAATTCGGCTTTGATTTTAGATAAACCTTTCCGCGTTATTAACCTGGATATATTGGATCCTGTCGTCATCTTCAAGTCCACCTCCGTTCTCCTTGCCGTTTTCCGTAATCATTATTTCACCGGGATTGTAACGATCGTTGATCCAATTGAGGAATTTTCGAATACCAGCGGGATCGTCGAAAACGTCAGTGACATTGACCCCGAGGTCGCTGTAGTAGCTCGCCTCACCAATTTCTTCATCCGGTATCCACGTGGTGTTCACCGTGCCATATCTGCAAAACTAAACCTTGACGAGTTTTGCTTCACTTCCCTTCAGCACGAATCATCTTACACGTTGAAGGAGTAGTAATCAGATGTCCCTTTGACGTAGGCGATCTCATCCTCCGTAAAGCTAGGCAGACGGGACCTAGCTAGACCTTCCTGTTGGCTCCTGTTGCCGATTCTGTCTTTAAGTATTTGGTGCCAGTCCCCGACGAAAATGGGATTCGCGAACCATCCTTCCTGCGGAACAAATATCAATATAGCAAGTGCCTACAGAACTGAAGAATATTCATATGGTTTACAATGGTCGTAAAAAGCGGACATTTGTTAACAACCAGATACCGATGAAGCCATAATTTGAACCCTGAATATTAACAGAAGGTGCAGTCATGATAAAAATTAAAACCAAAAGGAAGAAGGAAAGAAGAAAAAAGGACGAAGAGAAATACAAGTAAAAGTATTAGAACTGTTGGGGTTGGAGGTCGGGGTGTAGTGTTTCACTGGTCAAGTAATATTTGTTTCTTTATTCTGCTCTTCTTCTCTCTTCTTCTTTTTACGTTATGACGGGTCCTATGTTTTCATCAATGGCTTGCCAGGATTATTTCATAACATCTTATAGGTGGTCGTCCAGGAAGTCGTGTTGTGTATGGTTTCTTTTCCTTTTGCAATTTTTATTAATCGTTCATTTGATATTATATCAACATGGTCCCTCCATTCTCTTCTGCGACTCCCTTATTTCTTCATTTCTCTTTCGATCGAATAGTGTCTGTCCTGTTACTGATCTCAGGGTTCGCATTTCCGTTGTTCTCAAGAGCCGTTTTGTGGTTGTGTTCTGCGCTCTAGTTTCTATTGCGTACGTCATGTTCGGTCTTACGCAAGTTTAATATATTGTAACTTTACTTCTCGTACTTACATATTTATTTCGCCAAATTAAATCTTTTAGGTATACTGATATTAATGCTGCCCTTGTTGTTTGAGCTTTTACTTCATTCTTTAGGTTTCTATCACTTGTTACTTTCGAAAAATCGATGAAATCCACGGAGTGCATAAGATATATAAAAATGGCTGCGTTCAAGCTTTGGCGTCCATCTCTATTTTTTTACGATTTTCTACTGGTTTTTGGACGTTGCTATGAAATACGATAAGTGTCCGAAATTTGAAGCTATCGACATAACTATTAAAGTGGAGCGCAATTAAGTACCGCAAAGCATTTTTTTTTATTTTTGAATTTTTTTTTTTGGGTAATTTTGACTTCCAGAAAAACATGTTTTTCTCTATAACCATTCACCCGATCGGCAAAATTCTTTAACTGACAGACGCGGATAATCCAGTGCTACAACATTTATTTCAAGCATTTTGTCGATTATATACAGTTTTTTTTTAATTATAGACAAAAATCTAAAAGACTTTGAAAATTGTTCTTTTCCAGAGTAAATTATTAACCGCAAATCAAAAATCATAAAAAATATATCTAATGAGTTCAAACAGTGTCATAGGTCGCATCAAGAGCTAAAATTTTTGTATTTGCGGTTTTCGTCTATCACATACGCTGTTGGGGATATTTTTAAAAATTCATATTAAAATCACTATTTCTGTCAAGGCGCGAAGACGCATAACAGCATTTTACATGATTTTAGAAAAATCTTATTTGCTCGAAATCCATATACTATTTTAGAAAAATTCTTGGGCTAGAAAACGTGGAAGCTATTACCTCCATTTCAGAAAGTTTTTCAAATATGTACAGGGTGTGTCGATTATCGTAAAAAAAATTAAAAGACTCTGCAAATTGTTATTAGACGTAATCGAAAAGCGATAAAACATGGGATAATTTGTTTTAAACAGTCTCGGATATTGGGTCGAAAGAGAGTTAGAGTGTTTCAAGTTTCGTCTATCATACAGGGTGCGCGAGATACTTGGAATTATATATTCGGAAATCGTTATTACTTGTACAATTTTTTATATTTATCAAAGTTTGTTGTGACTTTGAAATTCAGCGATACGTGCAAGATGGTTTATACAGGGTGTATGCACAATAAAATTACGATTTTGCGAGACTTCCATAGTGGTCTGCGTCTATTATTTTTACGAAAATAATGCTTTTCTTTACGCAATTATCGAATTTAAAATATTTTCTTAAAGTACGCGGTGTGGCCACATTTCTCACAATGATACTTTTCTCAATTTTCTTAAATGAGGTACCCTGTATATTACACTATTTAATTTTAATTATGTAACATAGTAAAGGTCTCTGACTTTATAATTAAAGAATCTTGTAAATATGGGTTCTAAAATTCTAGATCACCAGATTGCGCACCATACTTTCACGGATCTTCGTCCCTGCTTGTTTACTTCCAAAACACAGACGCAGACGTTGTTAATATTGATTCACCGGTCCAAATTGAAATTGAAATATATTATGTAAACAATGCCTATCCATCATTAAATTGCAAAATTCGAGTCTTAAGTTGAAATCTGCATCTCCTTACTTTTGTACTTATGTGAGTTTCAATGGCTTATAACTGTCATTTTTTAAACATGTTTGAAGTCTTAGGTCTATATCTGAAGCGGCAAGGCGGGTAGAGGTCCCTGGAGTATTTTGAAAATGCAGAAGGATATCTAGCTGCATATTTTCATCCCTTCGGTTTCCACTTTTTTCGATAAAACGCTTCCATGGGAAAATTTGGCTCCATATCTCCTCCCTCATATACATTGTACAAAATAGACTCACTCAACAAAAATGCAAATCCGAGAAAAGACGTTTAAAATATTATAATACCTGTAATATTACCACAGCAGAGAACTACTATTGTTTTCAAAATTAATAATATCATCAATTTTGTGTTTGTGTCTTTCAACATATTTCATCATATTTTTTATATTATTCGATTATTGTTAATCTATATTATTAAAAATATGAATATTTTTTAAAATTTTCTTCGATTTAAGAAAATTATTTACAAGATTCTTAAATTATGAATGTAAAACAATTTATGTATTATTGTAAAATAATTGGCAATTAAGCAAAAACGGTTAGTCAGACACCCGTACTATGTTATATAATTGAAATTGGTATTAAAGTGGCTCTTCGAAAATCCAATAATATAGAGGGTGTTTCATTTAAGAAAATTGAGGAAAGTATCATTTGGCGAAACGTGGCATCACTGCGTATTTCAAGAGAATGTTTTAAATTTGATCAATGCCTAAAGAAAAGCATTACGTTCGTCAACTTAATAAGCAACCCAACAATGATGGTTTAAACATAACCGAAATTTTGAAGATGATCGCTAATACGTTTGAAACGGTGCATCACAAAATGTAACTTTGTTTTACCATCCTGTATATAAAAAATGACGACTAGGAAAATAAAAAAAGGGTCATTTTAATAGAAATAACTTTTGGATTTAAACTTTTTTGTAACCCCCGTTTCGAGACGAGGCACCTCTTAAACACACCCTGTACACACTAATACAATGATTCAGTTCTGATAGCATAACAGGTCAGAGCGGAAAATGTTACTCCTACGTTAATTCCCAGTATTATAAATTTGATAAAAAATGTAATTAATAACATACCAATTGAGAGCTGGAAAAATTCAGTACAGCACATTATAAAAGTTGAGGACTTTTACATTTTTATACAAAACAACACAAATCCTCATATAATTAATCTCAACGACGACTCTGATAGTGAAATAAAAATGTAATTATGTAAAGATTCCTAGCTATGAGCTTATTGTAGATATTTAATGTTATTGTTTTTCCTTGGTGTAATTTAATAAACAAAAAAAAAATTACGAAAACTTTTGAGAGTCCGTCCCTAATGATCTGTCCTTTAATATCTACCGGACTCGAGCTTTATTGACGTCGGCATAATTCCAACACCAGGTTGAGACAGACTATACTTATTATATCCGAGATTCGCATTTTTTTAATACGCAAATGGTGAAAACGCGGGAATAAGGAGCTGCTACTGTACCACAAACCCTGAATTGAAGAGCTCGTTCACTCGCTTCCTGATCAAATGCGCTGGACGGATCACTGGGGTCGTACCAGGGACCTTCCATGGCGATGCTAACCTTCCCTAAAATTTTACCCAGTATTTTCCGAAACTAATCGATATTGCCGTACCATTTTGGGTGGCTCTAAACTCCTCGTCGTAGATGTGGTACGCTCGAGCGTGAGCTTTCAGCAGTGTGTAGCTGCACCGATATATGCCATCGCCGATTACACCCAATGCGGGAGCAAACCCTTCCGAACCGTATCTAATTAAAGACTATTAAAGAAGATTCGGTTTTGTTTATCTAGTCGTACCCGTATAGGCATATTATCGAGGGTTCGTTGATGGTAAGCCAGTACTTGACGTACTGACCGAAAGTACTATACAGCAGTCTAGCGAAGTCGCCGAAATAATCAACTATAGCGTCGTTAAGGAAACCTCCGAGTTTGCTTATGTGCAATGGTTCGTCGTAATGGAAAATTGTGACCACCGGTTCTATGTTGTTCGATTTGAGGGCCTGTAAAAATTTTTCATTATGCTAAAGTTCTCGTTTTGTCACACAATTATCATCTCTAATTGTAACATGGAAACTTTTTGGATATATCTGATTTAGATCGAACTATAGCTCTTTGCTGATTTGAAGATGTGTAGATTTTAACGATTAAATAAAGAATAAATTATGAACTTTTATGCTTCAATTTCTTTCAGCGATAGGGAATCGAACTGGGATGTATAACTAACCGTACAGGGTGTTTTATAATTGAATTTCGATAATGAAGGGGGCGTTTTAAAAGAAAACTTCATATGAACATATTTCCTGAGCGTATTAACTTTTGAGATACAGGGCGGTAAAGTTTTCAAAAATAAAATATATTTTTTTAATATCTGTAATACCACTTTGCATCAACAAGGATTATTTAGTGTACCACTTTTTTTTTAATTTCACCAGATTTTGGTAGATTGGTAAACATTGATGGTACGCCAGTGATTCCTCTTAAAATAAAAATAATCGTTAATATGTCGTTAATCTGACATGAATGAATGCAAATATCATTTTTTTTAAGGAAATCAGTGGCGTGCCACTGACTGTCTATGAACAAATAGTATTTTGATTAATTAAATCGTCACGGCACTGGTCAAATCGAGAACTTTGTAAAAAATGAAATATCTGTCTAAAACAAAATAGGTAGTTTTTAGTTAGCAACTAGTATCCTCCAGAAAAACAAATTAGAAGACCGCTCTTTTCACTTTTTCAATTTTAATTAAATCCTAACAACAAGATAAATAATAAACGATTCTTATTTAAACATAAACACAACTTACTATTAATAATTTTTAACAAAATTGTGTGTTAATGTATTTATAACAACCTTCTTGAAAAAAAGTAGAACATAGAAACCATACAAGTTGTTGATAGTAATAATAATTCTCTGCGTGCTGTCATATTAATGATATCGTTATTGGCAATGGGAAGCCCACTAAGCCCGGTTATAGCCAACTTATTTATGGAACACTTTGAAGAAAAAGCGATCGAGACCTCAGAGTACAAGCCAGCAACGTGGTTCCGGTACGTGGATGACACCTTCGTGATTTGGAAACATGGTATGGACAAGCTCAACAACTTTCTGCAGCATCTCAACAGTCAGCATCCCAGCATCCAGTTTACTATGGAGACTGAAAATGACCAACAACTTGCATTCTTGGACGTACTAGTGAGGAAGCGAGGTAACAAGCTGGGCCACACAGTTTACAGAAAACCAACCCATACGGACAGATACCTGCATGCTCTATCCAACCATCACCCAAGTCAAAAGTATGGGGTTATCAGAACCCTGACAGAACGAGCCCGAAGGATTTGCGAACCGGAGAACCTCCAGATGGAACTTGAACACCTAAAAACTGCGTTCGAGGCAAATGGCTACAGTAAGAGGGAGATCGAGAGATCAATGAACTCAAGATCATCAAGATCACGGGATACCGAACAACGACCCTCCACCTCCCACGTATATCTGCAGTATATTCCGAGTGTCACCGACAGGATTGGCAGAGTATTGAAAAGACACGACATCAAAACAGTCTTTAAGCCTACAAAGAAGATCCAGCAGATCATCAGGTCAGCGAAGGACAAGAGGGGCTCACTTTCAGCTGCGGGAGTCTACCGCATTCCGTGTTCATGCGGAAAGGTCTACATCGGAACTACCAAGAGATCAATGGGAACGAGACTTAAGGAGCATAAAGCAAGCTGCAGGCTAGGACATACAGAGAAGTCTGCAGTGGCTGAACACGCACTGGGCAGCGGGGAACACAGGATACACTTTGAGAGCTGTAAGTTACTAGCATCGGTCAACGGCTATCACAACAGACTAGTCAGGGAAGCCATTGAGATTCAAAAACACCCACACAATTTCAACCGAAAGGAGGAGACCCTTAGACTCAACCAAATCTGGAACCCGATCCTTAGAAACGCCCGAGCAGTACCGATCGATATCCCGAGACCAACCGAAGCGGAACAAGCCCCGCCCTCCACCAATCGGCATAAATACAACCTGCGCAGGAGAAATCGTCAGTCTACGTCCAACATCGGAGATGGAAGGACCTCTGAAGAAGCTCGCCACTCGTGCTAGCGAAACGTTAGGAAGTAATTCCAATCGACGACGGCCTTTAAACCCGAATGAAGATAATAGCTTATCAACGGGCCGCGAAAGCCTTAACCAATTTATCATGATATCGTTATTGTTTTTAATTTTTTTAACCGAAATTAAATTTCTTTAGAAATGATCGAAGATTGTAAGAATAATTTTTATTTTAAGGGAAATCAGTGGAGTACCATCAATATCTGCCAAAATAGACAGTTGAAATTTCGTACGCCCGCCACTGGTATATTTTAAAACAATTATGGTACATCAACTAATGCCTTTTGATATACAGTATATATGTTCTAAGTTTCATCAAAATATTTAAAATAGTATTTCAGATATAAAAAAATATCTATTATTTTTCAAAACTTGACCACCCAGTATTTCAAAAGTTAAGACGTTTAGGACATATATCCATATGAAGTTTTCCTTTAAAAATGGAGTCAAATCGCCCCATTAATTATTCACATTCGATTAGAAAACACCCTATATGATAATGCTCCTATTGTACCTAGAGCAAAAGTTAAATTGGTAAAGTTTTAGTTGCTTTGATAACCGGATTCAGATTTGAAATCTTTCAAGTGGGACATGATTTATTTTAACATTTGCTTTAAATAATTAGTGGTATCCGTTATCAAGATGACTGTCACCTTCTTCAGAAGGATCTTCAAATTGGTAAAGATTTGGGAGTTTTATTTTACACTAAGCCTTCTTTTGTTGACCATATCAATCAAACTTGTAACAGTGCGTTGAAATTCATACTCCTGAATGCTAGAACTCTAGTTATGTTAGAGTATGGGGTCATTACAAGACAGCCTATTTTTAATATATATAACATTCAATTAGAAACTGTTCAAAGGAATTTTTTTTAAATATTTAGCTTTTAAGTGTGATGGTGTATTTCCACATAGATGTTTTCATCACAATTTCTCTTAAAGAGATTCAGAATAGCGGTATTAATTGATCGTAGGAACTATGCGTCAGTTAATTTTTTATTTAAATTATGCAGATCTTTTATAGACTGCTCTAAATGGTTACTTCTTGGTAAGAAGTCTACTCCTCAAAGCAACTGTGTTTGTAGTGAAATACATATCAATAATCTAAAACCGGCTCAGTTTCCTATAGCATTAAAAAATAGATTTTCACATTTCAGGTGGTTACTGTAGATTCGGTTTTGAGTTTTGTTTTTTGTTTTGTTTATATGGTTGCTTTTGGTTTTGTTGATTTTTAACATGTTGTTTATTGGTACGTTTTAATTTGCCCTGGCAACTACACTTAACGAATTAACTGTCTTGTCATTGAATGTTATATCTGTTAGACAAGGGAACTTATTATTATTATTGCAAAAACGCACTGAATTTTACAATGAGACATGAACGTATAGGATGACTTCTCGACAAGTCAGATGTTTTGTGCCAATTACCAACTGTGTGTTTTTTAAAAAGAAAAAGTTAAAAAAGTCTTCGTTAATTTAATTGATTTAATTAAATTAAATAATTAAATTAAATAATTAAATAATAATTAAATAAAATAAATAATTAAATAATTAAATAAATTCAATTAAATTAAATAAATACTACGCTTAAGAAGTTCCTGACGTGAATACTGTTTATTATTATTTGTGATTTTATTAACAGAAAACTACTATTTACTAACAACTAAATGTTCGAACGATTTAAAAAATGATAAAAAAGACATTTTTATATCTATTTAATTTTTTTTTTGCTTTGTCGAATTTACGCACATTACGATAGCACAGAAAGTGCTATCGTATTGAATTATTTTTTATTTCGCATCAATTAGATAGCAATGCAGAAAATTTCAAATGACTCGAGTATTGCAAAAATCAACAGTCGGGGATATTATAAAAAAGTATGGAGGGACCCGAAATAGATGGTGGTATTCTGGTCAAGATTTGTAAAACTAGCAGACGAAGCCTCTTACGACAAATTCAAGCCCAATGGAATCACGAGGCAAACTTAAATGTCTCCAGGGAATGTTGTAGGCAATGTATGCCTAAGTCGGGTTTGAGTTTTTATAAGGTAAGTTTACAATTTTTCCTGTTTCAATATAAAAATTATTGATATTCTATGATGTTAAAGGCAAAGGAAAAACCATTATTAACGTCTATTCAGAAGAAAAAACCTTTCGATTATGCAAAATCTAAAATATCCTGGACAACGGAAACGTGGAGTAACGTTACCTTCATCGACGAATCAAAATTTGATGTGTGTGTAGGCGGGAAAAAGGGTGATTCGTACAAAATCAGAAACCTTTCACAAAGATTGTCTAAAGCGCACGGTAAAATTTCCCCAAGGTTTTATGATATGGCGGTGTATGAGTGGTAAAGGGGTTGGCAACTACGAGTTCATTGATGGTACTGTAAATGCAGAAAAATACCAACACATTTTATCAAGAAATTTGATTCCATCAATAGAACGAACTTTTGGAAATGAAAATTTTATATTTCAACAAGACGGTGCGTGCTGTCATACTGCGAAAACAACGAAAAGTGGTTTGGAGACCACGATATGAAAGTTTTATCGTGGCCATCAAGTAGCCCCGACGTGAGTATTATTGAAACTTTATGGCATCGGATGAAAAAGACTTTGCGTAACAATCCTCAGCGTACAGTTCCAGCATTAAAGGCAAAAATCACCGAAATTTGAAACACTTTCACCCCCTATTAATGTAAGACGCATAAAAGGTGTTATTGCCGCGAAAGGTGATGTTACTTATTATTAATCTTCGATTTAAAGTAAAAGATTTAAATACGTCCGAATATTTATTTGTCAGCAAATTCGGTATGTTTTTGATATTTTGTTATGTAATTTATGTGAAATAAAAAAATAATTCATTACGATAGCACTTTTTGGTATAAAAATAAGTGCGTGATTTAATTTTTCAAAAAAAAACAATTTATAATAAGTATAAATATGTTTTCTTATTATTTCGTACATCGTACGAACAATTAGTTGTTAGGACTCGTATAAAAGACTTAAGACCCAACTTTACCAAGTGTGATATTATCTTTTCTGAACTTGTGAGACAAATCTGAATAGAAAATTTTATGCTTTTTCTAAAAATCGAAAAATCTTAAATGGCGACTATAAGAGAAACTTAAGGCGGGTTGCGACATAACAAAGGGCTATTGAGATTTGTCACACACGCTCTCTCGCTCGTCTTAAAACTCATTTTGACAGCTGTCAATTTAACCGATATTGCCAATCAAATATTAAAAATTTTCAAAATTTTAAAGTGATACCATCGATTTTGTACGAAAGTCACCAAAATAAAATAAAAATTGTAGTTTACTTAGGCAAATTATATATATAAATAATATCTGACTGATATCAGAATTCCCGAAAAATTAGAAAGAATTTCAGGAAATCAATTCAAAATTTCTGACTTATTTTTTATAAATTCTAACGTAAGTCAGATGTTCTGACTTATTTTCCATGAATTCAGCGTATTCCTCAAAAATTTGGCTACAAAGTTCGTCTAAAGTTCCTCCAAACTTATCATTACCTTTATTATGTTCATGTAATAGTCGATCCCTTTCTGATTGATATTTCCTAAAGTCCCATCGGGAAGTATCCTAGTCCACGATATTGAAAACCTAAAAAGTGTACAAATTTTTAAAATAACGTAGATTTGAGGACGTTGCATATTATTTGTCTATCTTAATTACCTGTAAAACTGTGCACCAAGATCTACGACATTCTGTATATCTTCTTCCCATTTGTGATAGGAATCGCAAGCCACATCTCCGGTCTCATTGCCTGAGGACACATTTTATAGATTAAAGTCCTCCAAGTATACTAAGAAAAGTAAATGAAATGTGAAATAAATAAAGCGACAGTAAACGTAAAATAAGAAACAGAAAATTGATGCGGAAAGTCGTCAGTTTCAAGAAAAATGAACTGCAGAGTTCTTTTTATTTTGCATAATGGTAAGCCTATTTGTTTGCCGTGAAGAAATCCGATATAAAGCATCCTACGCTGCACTCACTGACAGGATAAATAATAAAAGACAAAATCCAGAAGCTGAATGCAAATTTGGATAAACAGAACCATAAACAAAATAATGTTGTGAAATCGGCAATTTTTCTTTGTTTTATGTCCTGAAAAGAAAAATGAATTTCGAAAAATTGGTCTAGCAGAACTGTTGGCCAATGATATAAAAACAACATTGACTGACGCTCGTTTTCGCATAGCATTACACGAGAGCATTAATTTGTGTGAAATAGCTCAATTGCCTATATTTATTCGAGGTGTTGTTACTGAATTTCATCTGCCACAAGGAACCGCTACAGGGTAGGACATTTTTAATGAAGTTTATATGGTCAAAATTAATTTTTGTTTTTTTTTTTAAATAAAAAAGCCACTAAATTAAATGTGCAAAACGATGATTTTATAGTTCTTCATGTCATGAAATTCTCGCGCTAATGGGATATTTTAAGTATGGGATTTTTCTACATATTTTAGCTTTTCCAAGACAAATACATATTTTTAAACTTTAATATAAATAAGAAAGCTATTTATTTTTAAAAAGTAAAATTTCGTTAGCCGCAGGGAACATAATTTCAATAAAAAACATCACTTTATTTCAATAAGATACATAAAAGTGAAAACTAAACTAATATGGTACAACCAAGTCTAAAGAATCATTATAAATTGTTCCTGAATCCTCTTTACGGCTATGCCTATGGCTAATTACTCCCGAATTGAAATTAAATAGGATTTTTAATTTTATAATGGGTCTTGTAATAAAACTGAAAAGCTCATTACAAATATTCATTTATGAATGTTAATTTCAGAAGTAAAATTCACTATAAAAAGATCTTTAATATCATTAAAAAGAGAGGTACGGGGTTACCATTTTATAATGAGTAGTCGTGTTGCTTTATTTAACTGTTATTCTAATTCTAATAAATCAAAAACTTCAGGTGATAAAATGGACTTACTGCTTTAGGTAATTTTCTTAAACAGAAATAAAAGGGTCGAAATTTAAAAGCATTCGATGAAGATGTTAGAACACGAGAAATTTTTCTTTTATTTTCACGTTTACATAACTTAAGATTTTTATTTGAAAATGCTGCAGCTTGTTACGAAAGTTCCCCTATCGATAGACGTGCGTTTTCAATAACTTTAGATCCAGACAGGTAGGTAATACCACAGATAATTTTTTTAAAGGTTTTCTGTTTCTAAAACGTAATTCTGATATTTTATAGAGCTCAAAGCCTGTTTTTAGATATATACAAAAAAAGAGACGAAAATTGAAAAACGTCCCATACGAGGTGTGTTCAAAAAGTAAGGTGACTTTTCAGTTTCATCAAAAAGTTTTTATTTTTTAGTCAAAATTAATGTTGTCCCCTAGATATAATACCCTTGTGCCAATGTTTTTTCCAGAAGGATTTCTGGTAAGCACTTTTTGGTATAGCCTTGAATTCTGCCAGCAATTTTTTCTTTATCTCTTCAATGGCTCCAAACCTCTGTCCTTTCATGGGTTTCTTGAGTTTTGGGAACAGTCACAGGGGATCATATCCGGTGAATATGGTGACTGAGGCATGATTGTGGTTTTGTTTTTGGTCAAACAGTTAAGCACAAGCAATGATGAGTGAGCAAGTGCGTTACAGTGATGCAAAATGTACTAGAATTTTCATGCCCAAAACTTCAGTCACTTCTCTAATAGTGATTCGAAAATTTCACTTATAGCCATGTTCGTCATCGGCGTCTTCTCAGCCGTCTTGGAACAACTTGTACCATTTAAAAACATTTTTTTGTTCAAAGTAGATTTACTTTTTATTTTAATATAAATATAAAATTTTATGCAAATTCTTTGTTACATTTTTTTTCACACCAGAAAATTGCCGAGCCCACAAGACACGTCTAACGCTTCTGTCTTATAAAAAAAGTGTACCTGGAAATTAGCTGAAACTGTGAACATATTTTAGAGACATCCGCCCAATTACAAAAGTCGCCTTACTTTTTGAACACACCTCGTATCTCGGCTGGTAGTGAAGATATCCCCATTAACCATCAAACATTTCTCAAAAATCTCTTGACATGTAAGTCGATTTTGCTTTATCTAGTTCAGAAATATTTTTTTCCTGTGAACACAGTCCGAAAATTCGCAAAGAGATTGATTTCGTACGTTTGGTAGGACTTATAGCTGCAAACAGTTCTTTTAAATTATAAGAGTTGACAAATTAAAACATCCGGCAGGTTTGACAGTGGATATTTTGGAAAATTCTCCACGTCTTTGTATCAGTGAAACTAATCTAAAAATAGAACGATAAGTTTCACAAATTCTAACCTTAGTTTGTAATAATAATGTTGTGCCTATTTTTTTTTTCATTTCGTTTTGTTATTTTAATTAATTGTATTATAATAACAATGTCGTAGCATTTAATGTCTGACATTTATCGAAAAAAATAATGAACACTAATTTCAAGAATTTATTCACCTTGAGTGTGGTAGAAAAAATCAAAAACGTTTTCCCCTTTGCCGTCTTCATTCCATGCCCCTTCGATTTGGTATGCCGACGTTGCCACGCCTAACATAAAATCGGGGGGAAAGGCTCTTGTATCGAGCAATGCTTGAGACCTAAAAATAGTTATGTCAAACTAGATTTTCAATACTTAAAAAATAGATAAAAAAATGAGGCTATTAATGATAGTAATTTCCATTGACAAGACCATGAGTCAACTATTTCAACGAAACTTATATATCTCTTTAACGGTAAGTCCTGCGGGACCGCTATTGGCACAGAAATGATCAGCGTCGAAAGAAACTTTTTTTTCTGTTCTCAGTTCTCCGTTCTCTGTTCTCCGTTTCTCTGTAGATGGGGAATTAATTGGCTTTTGAACGGTTTGCCACAGGGCCTTCAGAGTTCTGTCCTTTTAAGCAGTATAGGAGACACATAAGTGATGATCAGATTCCGGTGTGCATCTTTTTTTTTTAGATTTTCGACTGTTTTTTGACCTTTGCTATGAAACACGATAAGTGTCAGAAATTTGAAGCTATCGACTTGAAACTTGGGAAAGATATGGAACTTGGTTCTCCAATGAAACCTATTGAAACTGAGGGGGTCGGGAAGTATTTAAAAACAATTAAAAATGTCATTTAGAGAGGTCTAAGAAAAAAATCATTTTTGGAAAAAATTCTTTAACAAAAAATACAGAAAGTTTAGTTTCACAAATTATTATTTTTGATAATTTTCCAAATATATACAGGGCGTTTTTATGGGTAAAACTATAAATCATACGATAATTTGGTTAAAACACTATTATATACTGAAGCGAGAGAGAGTATCAGGTTTCGTCTATCATACAGGGTGAGCGAGATATTTTGAAAAATATCATTGGAAATTGATTTTGGAATCAATTTTTTTATATTTATCAAAGTTTGCCTTGACATTGATGTTTTGGTGAGACGTGAAAGACACTTTATATATGCGTGCACAATAAAAAAACAATGTGGCCCTCTAGGACGAAAAGCCTTTAAAATATAAAACTAGGTAGTGATTGTGTAGTACGGAGCAGACGCTTCGCACAGCGACGAGATTTCGAAAGCAATCTTGTTAATTATTAACAAAGTACTGTTCCAGTTGGTATCTAATAGGAGCGACAGTTTTCTGACATGCTTAGATGTTCACCTCAAAATCCAATATTAAGCCAAACCAATTTGTCTAGTATCCAAAAACATGCGATATTATTTTATGTGTTATCCTCAATTATATGCAAAGTATTATAGGTACTACTCTTAATTACCTAGGTGTCGTAAAGAAGAGATTTGAGAAGAAATAATATGTATCCTTACCCCGCGATGAAGCAAAGCAGCAACACTTGTAACGCTGTCATTTTGTATCTAAACGATACTAAAAAACATGCATCACATTTCATACTTTTGTTGTTATCATTCAAAATAGCCAGTGTTATTGCTAGACACTTGAGATAGATTAGGTAAAAACACACGATTGTGGAAAAATGTTAAGTGATTTGATTATATTTTGGTCGATATTTATTTAAATGTATCTAATCAACAGCAAATATGCCTTCTGCAATGTGATTGATTGAGAGTCTAATTCGTCATTACATAGAACCTTTACATTTGATGTTATAAATGCAGATTCCATGAACCAAATTATTTCATGAAGTATTTAAATGGCACAATCCACTTGAAGAGATCTGCATAAGAATTTTTTTTATCATTTATAGCTGTATGAATTTACTTTCTTACATTTTGCACCTTTAGCCGAATATCAGAAGTATGAAAAGGTTAAGTACCAAAAAAGCAAATATCTATTTTCCTCTGAAATGGATGAATATGGTCCTATTGCTTCTAGAAAAGTTTAATACAGGTTCAAGATTCAACCTCCATTTATTAAATATATAATATAATGTGCTCATTTCTCTTGATTTTGGCGCTGTTGATGCCCCAGTGACCCACGTTGGCCACTACACTAATAGCGTCCAACGCTCACGCTTAGGGCAACAATTGCACTAGGTAGATGCAGAAGGATATGTGGAAATAAGTGGGGCTTAAACCCAAAAATGACACTCTGGTTGTATCTAGCAGTAGTGAGACCAATGCTAGCGTATGGGGCGATTGTCTTTTGGACAAGAACCATGCAGGGGGAGGCGATAAGGCGGCTGAGTAGCGTGCAAAGACTAGCGAGTCTGTGCGTTACGGGGGCCATGAGCACAACGCCCACTGCAGCGCTGGAGGTCCTACTGAACATCCCACCAATACAGATCTATATACAAGGGGAAGCAAGATCCTCAGTATATAGATTACTGCAAGGCCAATCCCCAATAATTGGTGGACATAGCACGAAACATAACAAGTTTTACTTGGAGGTAAGGGCGGACAATGTCCTAGCGCTGCCTACGGACAGCACAACACCTAAGTATTGGTTCGTTAACACTACAGGACTCAAATCACAGCCAGAGAAGACTGGGATAACGGGCCAGAAATATCCTGGTATGCTGATGGCTCAAAAACTCAAGAAGGAGTAGGAGCCGGAATATATGAACCCAGGACGAAAAGGAAAATCTCTATTCCAATGGGTAAGCTAGCAACAGTGTTTCAAGCAGAGATCACTGCACTAGAACACTGTGCAAGAGAACTAAAAGCGAGGAAGATCCGTAACAAATCAATTGCAATTTACACCGACAGTCAAGCGGCTATAAAGGCCCTGCAATCTAATAAAATAACATCCAAGTTAGTTCTGGACTGCCATAAGGCATTAAACGAGATAGCAAATCACAACAAAGTTACTCTATCATGGGTACCGGGGCACGGAGGACATAAAGGTAATGAAGGCGCAGACGACGCAGCCCGCGAAGGGTCGTCAATGCGCCTGATTGGACCAGAACCCTTTTGAGGGGTGGCCAAACCCGTTGCAAAAACAGCCATCAGAGATTGGATGAACCGATAATGCCGACGATGGTGGAGGGACATGCCGGGGCAAAGACAGGCCAAGAAATTCCTAAGGGGCCCATCGGCCAATTTTACAGCGGACCTACTAAGCTACAATAGGAAAGCCGTAAGAATAATGGTAGGTCTGCTGACGGGCCACTGCAGACTTAAGAGGCATCTAAGCCTGATGGAAGTGGAAGAAAACACAGAATGTAGATTCTGTCAGGAAGAGGAGGAAACAGCCGCACACGTACTGAGCCACCGATCTCGACATTGTAGAACATCAAATAAATCATGATATAAAGATTGTAAGTGACATCTCCCTTGCACATAAGCTTCACCTTAACAACTCTTAATCTCAGTTAGTTTTGGCAGTAGCAACGAGTGCACATATTAATAAAGGTAAATTGAATCGCTGTACTTCGTGTAAAAATTTGAACGTATTTTTCGAAAATTTGGATCTTACGTAACTTATCTGGTCCAACAAAGTTATTGTAGACCCAAAACCTTATGACAGTTATACTAACCAGGTCTTCTTTGTAAAGATAGAGCATCTCAAAAAATACAAGACAACTCTATAAGGTCGAGGATGATCGTTGCTTGATATTCATTATCCCATTGGTTTCAAAAGTTATGAGAAAAAAGCAAATACAAAAGTTGTAAAAATTGTTAGGATGCACAATATAAAATTATTTTGAAGTATACAGAGTGGTTCAAATAAAACATACATTTTTTAAATGGGACAGGCAATTTTCAAATTCTGTTTTGGTTCATTCAGTACATACTTAAAGTAAATTTTTTCCCAATATTTTAATTTTTTAAAGAAAAAATACTAGTTTTCACACTTGCAAAAAAATTATAATAGTGCAATTATCTTTAAAGGTAGATGTCACCCTTATATGATGTTAGAGTTATTCGAAAATGACGTAAAATATATAGGCAACGGAATTTGAATTAGATGTCTCAGGGTGTTCAAAATAAACATGTTTGGATCACTTTAAATACAAAAATTTTAATTTTTTTTGCGTCACAGCATATACAGAGTGTTCAGAAGTTGAGTTCGAAATCTTGGAGGAAAGATTCAACGGGGTAAAAAAATTCGAAAACGTAATATTTTTCGAGCATGTCAAAATTCATTTTTTGTGGATCAAACCAAATCTGTGGCACTTTACCTAGACCTTTTTTTTCCTGTATTGTGTTTATTTATACTGATATTGTAAAATAAAACAGATTGGCTTAAGCAGAATCACACAATCTTCAAAAATTGTTATTCTTGTTTTAATTCTGCAAAATCCCAAACGACCCGCATCACATCTGGAATTCCTCAAGGGTCCCATTTGGGACCATTGTTATTTTCACTGTTTATCGCAGATGTCAGTAAATGTTTTCTTTTTGCTAAATCAGCATCATACGCAGATGATCAGAACTCATACGCGCCCGTGAAAAGCCTTAACGACTGTCATAAGTTTCAAGAAGATCTTGATCGTTTTTATGAATACTGTGTGAAAAATCGTCTATTTTTAAATATTGATAAATGTTACTGTCTTAAGTTCAGCAGGCGGATAAATGATATAAACTTTGACTACACATTCAATGGTGTAAAAATAAAAAAAGTAGAGCAGATTAGGGATCTTGGAATAACTATAGATGTAAAATTAAGTTTTGATATCCACATTGAGAATATAGTAAAAAAAGCTTATAAAAATTTAGGTTTTATATTAAGAGTTAGCAAGGAATTTCAGGATCACAAATCGCTTATTATTCTATACAATTCCTACGTTCCATCTCACCTTGACTATGGCGGTGTGATATGCAGTCCTCAGTATCATAAATATATAGACAGAATCGAGAGAATACAAAAAAAGTTTGTTTTCCATTTAAATTTTAGATTTAACCGTAACTTCCTAACTCATTCGTATGAAGCTAGTCTTAATTTCTAGCATATACTGAAGTTATCTGTTAGAAGAATTATCTCCAGTGCTATATTTTTGCATAATATTATTAATAGTAGGATTGACTGTCCTTTACTGTTGGAAAAACTATCCTTCAATGCCAGAGTCGTTATAACAAGCATTATTTTACGTTCCTAGATTTAATACAAACTTAGGTAACAATTCCCCAATATCTCTTTTACATAGACAATACAATAACTATTTTTCGCACGTTGACATCTTTGCGTTATCACTTAATTCGTTTCGAAATCAATCAATTAGGGTTTTTCTATAAATTTATTTTAATTTTTGATTTGTTTTTCTTATTTTTTCACATTTTTTTTTTGTAATTCACGCACTTAATATACAGTGTTAGTTTCGGTTTAGTTTGGTAAGTTTGATTGTTATTATTATTATTATTATTATTATTATTTTTATCTTCTGCTTATCGTAGATATAGGTAGGTACCTACTTATAAGTTTTACTTTGTTAATTAAATAATGGTATAATTGTTAGTGTGTCCTTGTAAATTGTGAAGTTAGTTCTTCATGTTAGGGCACCTTTGTAATAAATAAATAAATAAATAAATAAATATAGTCGATAAGTTTTATCGTTTAGTCACAAATCGGCTTTTTTTTTATGGCATTGTAAATTTTTGAAATATGCATCAGTGGAACATTGAAAACCCACATCCAAAAAATGAAGCACAACATAATTTTTTTACGGATCGCTTAATGGGGAAATGTATTTGCAAATTATTCAAGAGGAACTACCAACTTTGCTCCCTTGCAGTGGAGACAACACATTTGGTTAATGCCAGATGGCTCTCCATCCTATGCTTGCATTGGCTATACGAAGGTATTTAAATCAGGCATTTGAACATCGATGGATAGGTCGGGGCAAACCTCTAGCTTCGCCGCCTTGCTCACCAGACCTTAATCCGATGGACTTCTTTTTTTGGGGACGCTTAAAGTCTTTAATGTATAAAACACTTATAACAGATATCAATGATCTGAATGAAATATGTTCGGCGCATGTTTTAAAATGTATAAGAAAGCGGTTTACGACAAAACAGTGGAAATGAATTTAAAAGAGAGAGAGAAATCAAATTGTAAAAAAAATAAGGATAATTATTTTCAGAATAACTCCAAAGTTCTATGGAAAAACTTAAAGTTCTTCTCCCTGAGAAGAATACAACGGTCTCTGCTGAAATATTGTTTGGAGTGGAGACGAAATGGAAATCGACAATAAATTTAATGAATACTTTGCAAATAGTTTTGCAGAGATTGTATCCAGTATCCCATAATTCGATGACTTTAAATTGAGCAAATGGGAAGTGGTGGGAAGAGTGGAATCTCGACTGGGTAATCGGAAATGTGACTGTAATAGGCAATCGTCTTTTGGATATTATAAATACTGCACTTTCTACCGGAGACATCAACTGTGATTCCAATTCCAAAGGTTCAAGGCACAAATCAGCATGGAGAATTTAGACCGATAAACGCTCTTCCGGTTAATGAAAAGATATTGGACATTGCCGTCAAAGAGAAACTGCTT